ACTGCGACAGCGTCCGCCCCCTGCGTGTACATGTGGCGGAAGCCCTCGAGTGCGGACTCTGACTCGCGCACCGAGACAATCTTTTGGAACTCGTTAAAGTTCGAGGTCAGGCCCAGCTGCCCAAGCGTCTTGTTTGTCAGCTCCTGGGTGGCGCGGGGGTGCGTCAGAATGAAGCGCAGCACGTCGGACTGCGAAAGAATGCGGAGAGCCGAGTAGTGGCCCTCGTGCATCTCGTCCGAGGGGCCTTCAGGGCGGTGAGTCGGAGTGGCGCGCACAAGGACGCGCTCCAGTCCACCCTCGAGCGGGCTGAGAATCTCCGCAATGCTGCGAGTCGGCTCGTACACGTTCAAGCCGTTGTGCCACCATCCAGCCTTGCTCAGATGGGCAATGCCAATGAGCTCTTGCGCAGGCAGGTTGCGAAGCTTGTCAATGTGCACCTGCAGCGACTCGGGCGTCACCTTCTCCTCCACCTGGAAGAAGCCGAAGGAAATGTACACGAGCAGGTCGAACGTGTGAACAATGCCAACGTATTCCTTCTTTTCCTCGTCGTAGACGGGGACGGCTGTTGTTGCAGAGGACGAGTTAGTGTGAGTGACAAAATCGTCCAGCAGCATTTCAGAAACAAGGGCGGGGGTTTGAAGACAAACAAAAAAGCATCTCAGAAATGAACTCTGATTTCTCCACACTTCTCCCGCCATCCAACGCTCTGGAGTGTGATTTTCACCTGCGTCTGAGCGGACTGGTATTGCGGGCAAAGTGCGAAGTAAAAGTGCGATTGAAAATGGACCCTGTTCCAATCACGGACGAAGAGCTCGAAGCTGTGCTCCAGAAAAAAAGGGGAAAAACATCACATCGTACTGCTACGATATAAAAGGGGTTGAAAGTCTGAGAACGCAAGACGATCTCTCCAAAAATCTCCAAATCTCCAAATCCCAAATCAAAAAAAAAAAAAAAAAAAAAAAATAAAAAAAATAAAAAAATCTGCTTCAAATTTCTCGCGCTTTGTTGGGTTTTGTGTGCGTCTTTTATCCAATGTCGTTCTTCCAAGCAGTCAATGGAAGACGAAACTCGGTCGTCTTCTTGCACGCAATGGGCTGCAGAAGCGGCGGACTCTCCGATGTTGGGCGAGTCACTCGCTTTGCTTGGGTTACGGGGAGTGTGAATGAGTAATCTCTGTCTCTCTCTCGCTGTCGCTTTTGTGACGAACGCACCGAGAATGTTGTGGCGCGCGAGCACTTTGAGAGTGTCGACGACGGTCGTTGTGGCAGTAATCTCCACGAGGTGCTGCTTGGCGTGCAGCAGTGTGCCAGCGGGGCGCTTGAGCAGATCAGCAACCGACTTGATTTCTTCGTGCTCGCTCATTGCTTTGGATTTCTATTGGAAAATCAAAAAAAAAAAAAAACTGAATTTCTGAGAAATCAACAATGGCTTCAAAGAAACTCAGCGATCCAATAGTAAAATGGTAAAAGTAAAGACGGTTCACGCAAACTACCATCGTGGTACTATGACCGTAGTGTGTTGTGATCCGTCCATTTCTAGGACGGAGACCGTCTCCACTCGGTCCACTCGTCTGAGCGGCTAATCCTACCTTGTTTTACTTTTTGACTGTCTACAACGCCTCCCAACTTTGCACTACCTTTTTAACTCCTGATTCCTGCCATTCTCTTTTCTTACTCTTTCCTAGAATGAGCGGTCGCAGGCAGGGCAACATGCTGCCAACTGCGCTGGCGCAGCTCCAAAACCTGATCAAGCGAGACGCCTCGCTGTACCGCGACGAGTTCCTGCAGCAGCTGCGCCACTACGCCTCCGAGCTCAAGATCTTCCAGCTCAAGCCGACGACTGCTGCCGGCGCCGCTGTGGAGGCAGCGACCGATGCGAATGGAGCCGTCGTGCCAACCGCTGCCGTCATCCAGTCCAACTCGAACGGCCGCAGCAGCGACAGCGCCAAGCACTTTGCCGAAGTCGTCATGTTCATTGCCCAGGTGTGTGTCTCTGTTCCGTACCATCCGGAAGAGGGGGGGGGGGAGCGATTGAGAGTGACGGGGAGCTGCGGCAAGGGCCTTTCCCTCCATTGCCACACGTGGAGAAGAGTTCATCGCGTGGTCGCTCCAAGCCACCCCCCACCGTCAAGCACCAAGCCATCGCCCCGCTCACCTCTTATCTCAGTGCACCAAAAAAGCACACACATGAATCTCAGCTGGCCTGGCGATGAGCTGATGACATTTGTTTTTTGTTGTTGTTGATTCTTTGTCACTTTGGTTGTTTGCCGACAGGTCTCGCATTGCTTCAAGGAAGAGACGCAGGCCTTCCCCGCCGAAATCATGGACTTGCTCGCTCAGCATGGTCCGCTGCTGGATCATGACATTCGCATGTCGCTGTGCCGATCGCTCATCTTGCTGCGTAACAAGGACCTCATTCCCTGTGTCAAGTACGTCCAAACATCATTCCGCCGGCTTGCGCTTGCGCTTGCAGTGTCACTTGCCAACTCACTTTATTTTTTGCTCAACACGTTTTGGCGGGTCAAAACTCACAAAGCTTGCTCGAGCTCTTCTTCCAGCTCTTCCGTTGCAGCGACAAGCCGCTGCGAAAGCTGCTGTACACGCACATTGTCACGGATGTCAAGAACATCAACCGACAGCACAAGAACAACAAGGTCAACAAGACGCTACAGAACTTTATGTACTCGATGCTGGCAGACCCGCACCCAACAGCCTCCAAAAAGTCGCTCGAAGTCATGATTGAGCTCTACCACAAGAATATTTGGTATGGATGGTCTCCTTGGCCTCAGTCTCGACTGCTTCGTCTCAGCAACTGTTGTCGCTGATGGTTTGCTTTTCGTTATTTTTATGTGATTTTATTTTTTCGCAGGAACGATGCGAAAACCGTCAACGTCATCTCGACCGCGTGCTTCTCGCCTGTGACGAAGATTATGGTGACTGCCATCAAATTCTTCCTCGGCGTTGATCAAAAGACAGAAGAGGACGAGGATCGTGACCCAGTACGTGTTCCCTCTATCGCTCAGAGCTGAGCGAGTTTATTTCTGTTTGTCGGAAACTCTGGACTCACATTCACGCGCTTTCTAGGACGACATGACTGTCAAGGACGTCACCATCAACAACAAGATTGCCAAAAAGACCAAGCATCGTGCCCGGAAGCTCAACCGAGCGCTTGAAAAGGCCAAGAGGGTAAGAGAAAGGTTTCTTGGGAATCTTCTCGATTCTTCTTGAAGAGTCCGCCCCCCCCCCTCTGGTCCTGATATCCATCCCTCTTTGAATGATGACATTGATAGAAATTGAACTCGACCGATCGCACGGCCGCTTTCGCCTTCTCTGCTCTGCACCTTCTTAACGATCCCCAAGGTATGTTGTTTACGTCCAAACACTTTACAAGGAGAGAGGGGCACACAGAGTTTGGTGGTCTGTTTCATTTCTCACGGCTTTCCCCCCCCCTTTTTTTGGTCAGGTTTCTCGGAAAAGTTGTTTGCCAACTTGCGCAAAAGCACTGAACGCTACGAAGTCAAACTGTTCATGATGAACTTGATTAGCCGCTTGGTTGGTGTCCACCAGCTTTTCTTGCTCAACTTTTATCCCTTCATGCAACGTTACATGCAACCCCACCAAAAAGGTAGGGTGATGAATTTTGGTTTTGCTTGGTTGCGTTTTGGGGCATTGTTTTTTCTCGAGTCTGACCTTTGTGCTATTCTGCCTCTTTGTTTTTCTTCTTCTTTTCTCCCTTCATACTCAGACGTCACTTTGGTCCTCGCATACGTCGCCCAGGCATCGCACGAACTCGTGCCGCCGGATGTGATGGAGCCCGTGATCATGACGCTCGTCAACCAATTTGTCAACGACAAGAGCTCACCCGAGGTCATGGCTGTGGGTCTGAACTCTGTTCGCGAGATTTGCGTTCGGTGTCCGCTCGCCATGAACGAGACCCTGATGCGCGATCTTGCAATGTACAAGACGTTCAAGGACAAGGGCGTTGTGGCTGCTGCTCGCTCGCTCATTCAATTCTACCGTGTGGCCAACCCTGCGCTGCTCCACCGCCGCGATCGCGGGCGCCCACTGTTGGGCGACGAGGTGGACTCGGATGACGAGCAAAGTGCCGACGACGTCGAGAGCGCCGACGAGGATGTCTCGGACGACGAAGATGGATCTGCAATGCAAGTCGATGACAGCGACAACGAAGCCGATGCAACCAAATCCAACAAGAAGGCCGCAGCAGGGCAAAGCGACAGCGAAGATGAGGACGACAACGATGAAGCTAGCCTGTCAACCATGTCTCTTGCACGCTTGAAGCGCAAGGAACGCCGTCTGCTGCAGCAGCAGAAGGCCAAGGAAAAGTCCGAGCGCTCCAAGTCGACCATGCAGTACGGCCAAGCTCGCATTGCCAGCTATGTGCCCGGCGCCGAGTTGTTGGCAGCCGATCTCGACATGGACGACATTATGCAGGGCAAAACCCACACCGAAGAAGTCGAAGGCGAGGCCGACGAATGGGATGGCTGGGAAGAGGATTCGGACGTCGAGGACAGCGACGAGGGTGAGTGGATTGATGTCCATCATTCGTCCGACGAAGAAGGCGACCAAGCCGCCGAACCCAAGCGTAAATTGACCCCCGAGGAGATGGAATTAGGTAAGAAGTAACAAGTTCTTTGATGATGTCGTTGTTATTGTCGTGCTCTTTTATTTTGGTTGTGTTGGAGTTTCACCAACCTTTTGCTTTTTCTTTGCAATTTTTTTTCGTGTGCCGCATCTTGCACAGCTCGTCAAAAGGTCGCGGAGCGCAAGCAAAAGGCTGCTCTGCTGAGTGCAAACCGCATTCTCACGCCTGAGGATTACGCTGCCATTCGCAAGAAGCGCTTGGAGATGCTCGCAAACAATACAATCAACCAACGGCGATCACGCAAGCGCGGCCACGAAGAAGTGGACAACAGCGCCGAGGCCATTGAGGAGCGTCTCATTGAGGACTCTGGTTTGCTGTCTTCGACTGCCGTGGGAGCTGGCTCGATGCCTTCGGAAACGGTCGATCCCAGCGCGCTCGAGCCGCAGTTCAAGCGCTATCGCCAGGACAAGGCAGAGCGTATGGCCTCGATTATGGCTGGCCGCGAAGATCGCCTCAAGTACGGTTCGCGCAAGGGCAAGCACAACAACCACGCTTCAACCACCAACAAGGAGAAGGCCAAGAGGAAGAATGCCATGATGATTTTGCACGGCCAGGGCGTCCGCTCCAAGATCAAGCGTTCGTTCCGCGGCCCACTACACTGCCATCTCTCGCAACAAGGGTCGTCACAACGGCGAGGCCTAAGGGAATTCTGGTTGGTAGATTGCGTTTTTTTTTTGTGGTTTGTTTGTTTGTTTGTTTGCAGCATTCATTTGAAACTTGGCACAGAATAACATTTCGTGCTTTCTGTTCATTCATTCAACGATGAATTGTTTATTGGGACCAACGACCACTTCTCTCATCAAACTGGTGTTCGCCACTGCGAAACACGTCGATATTCCTGGAGACATTGCATAGATAGCTTGGCGAGTCGGTCCACATCGGTGGACGTGGCAGGAATGACAGCATGCGCAAGGTCGACGAAAGCGTAGGCAGAGAGGTCAATGTCTGTGTGGGTGGCGTCGTTCAAATTGATCCAATGGCTCAACGCGACATACGTCTCATGCATGCGCTCCACCCAGTTGCTGATGAGGTAATCATGAGCACAGAGAACGCGTGCAAAGTTCGTGCTAACGATTCGACAAGCGATCAAATTCAGCGCGAGCAGTTGGCGCAGCCGTGTCGCCTGTGCGGATGAAGCATCAACATCGGTCTCGACAAGCTCTCGGGCTAGTGCAAGACAGGTCGGCCAGAGATAGTTGCTGCAAATCGCGAGCAATTCATGAACGAGCCAGTGCGTTGGCATGTTCACGGTGCTTCCGATCTGCTGCCATAGCGCTAGAAGCGGGTCGCACTGTTCGGCGAGTTCTTCGGCTGTGAGCAGATCGTCTGGCGACGGTGGGACGACATCCCGAAAGTCATGCAGAACGGATTCCACCTCCTCCAAAATCGAGTCCACGGCTGGTTGTTGATCCGCGCACAAAGAGCACTGCACTGCCAAGCCACGTGAGGTTATGGTGCAGCTAGGACACACCCTAGCACGCTGAAGTTGCGGCTCATCGGCAAGACATCGACTGCAGCCGCATTCAAAATGAAAGTTCTGCAAAAGGTGTGCGCGACGCTGCTCACGGGGCTTGTACAGTAGTTCCGGAGGAAGATATGACAGGACGAGTTCGCTGCGATAGAAGAGCGAGGGAGAGAAAGATTGCGTGAGAAAGATTGAGAGAGAGAGAGAGAGAGAGAGAGAGAGAGAGAGAGAGAGAGAGAGAGAGAGAGAGAGAGAGAGAGAGAGAGAGAGAGAGAGAGAGAGAGAGAGAGAGAGAGAGAGAGAGAGAGAGAGAGAGAGAGAGAGAGAGAGAGAGAGAGAGAGAGAGAGATTGAGTGAGACGGGGCAACGCCTGACGGGGAAAACCAAAACAACCCAAACCAAGACTTACTCGCCCAGATACACGTCCTCAAGTAAAACTACCGAGAAGAAGGTCCCTTGGTCTGTGATTTCCACAAAGCCCGAGCAGTTTGGTCGGCAGCCGTGATTGAAAAACGCTGCCAACGGAAAAAATCCGACATCAAACGAGTTGAGCTGAATGCGTGCCAAGGTGCTAAGAATGAGTCCGTTTTCATCAAAGAGGGGCTGTTGTTTGGTGGAATTGGAGGGCACTGCTGTTGATGATGATGATGATGATGATGATGATGATGATGATGATGAAGAACCAGCCGCGCAAAGCTGGCTGTCTGCATCAGACGGCAGATCAAGACGATGCTGGGTCTCGAGAATCATCGGAATGTGTTGACTGGCTTCATTGAGCTTGTCCAGAAGCGCCGAGGGCACATCTAAGGCTGTGCGTGGGAACAGCTGAGCGATACGCGACTCGAGCACCGAGCCAGGAACGAAGAGAAAGTCGTTCTCCAAGCTTTCGGCAGAATCTTGAGGTTCAGCGTCCACCATCTCATCTGGTTGCTCGTGCTCAATGTCATCCGGACTGTCAGATAGCTCGTCGTCAGCGTCGGCGTCAGTGCGGCTCTGTAGCTTGAATTGGCGCGTTCCAATGCGAGACTGGATGAGCGGCACCAGGTATTCCACGAGGCCAGGCAGCAAGTACTTGTCTTGAGTGTCGGACGTTGCCGAGCCATCGTCGTTATCGTCATCGTCACCGTCGTCCATTGCATCCGCAGTGTCAGACGCGTCGGCGCCGTACGAGCTCAATGTCGATTTCACGTCAAAGTAGACGCCGACCGGAGCGACGCCAACCGTTCTCATCAGAATCGTGCCCTTGCGCAGACATGGCTGCTTGTTCGTCGTTGCAGCAGTCGCTTGATCAGGCAGCAGCTCGAACGCAAGAGTGACTGGCGATGCCGTTGGTTGCTCTGGTCGCGTGGAGTGAAACAACGCGTGGAGTGGGTGCTCCGATCTGCAGTCCTCAACCACAGCAGCAGCGCCACCGTCGGATGCAGATGATCCAGTCACTAAGGCCATGCCCTTGCCTTGGTGGTGCAGATCCGTGAGCACAACGCCGGGGTGCACAAACTCGCCATCCAGCAGTCGCTCAAACGGATGCATTGGCAGCACAAAGCAAAAAACAAAAAAGAACAGTAGACCTGAGGCTGGTGGAGTTGAGATGATATTCTTAGACATGATCAAATAGTGAGACAAAAGCATGAATCGGGGAAATGGCAGGGAAGGCTACAGAGAAAGCATCGGAAAAAAAAAAAAGTGTGCAATAGAGCCAAAAAAGAAAGAGCCGTGCGCACGCCGGTAATCGAAACCGGGTCATTTCCTTGGAAGGGAAACATACTGCCTCTGTACTACGAGCGCATTGCTGACGTTGGGCAAAACGGTAATTGTCGCTTGACTATGGGCCACTCATACACAACACTGCATCAGATCGAGAGCAGATCCGCTGGAGTGTTTGCCAACAAAGAGAAAACGGATTGATATTTCCAAACAAACACAAAATTTGAACGAGGGTTTGTTTCTGTCGCCTTTTTTTTTTTTTTTTTGTTTTTCGAAGCAATCGTTCAGCTCAGAACCACTCTGCTTTTTTCCTTTTCCTTTTTTTTTTCTCCCAAGTCTCCGCTCGCTTTCTTTGACTTTGTCGCTTCGTTCATCATGCCAAAGCGCACTGCAGCAACGCTCGAGAGCTCGGACGCGGAGGTCGCCGCCGTGAAGGGCAAATCGACTTCCACGCGGTTCCAGGACATCTTTGGCAAGACTGCCGACACGGAGGCCGAGGACGCACTCGCCGAAGCGCAGTTTGACGACAGCGATGACAGCGACGTCAACGACGACGACGACGACGACGAGGGCGACGATGACGGCAGCGACGGCTCGTCCGTGTCCCTGGAAGACTCTGAGGCTGGCGAGACGGACAGCGACGACGAGCTCATTGACGACGCCGACCCCGACGAAGACGACCAAGAGGGCGAAGAAGACGATGGTGACGATGACGAAGACGAGGACGAGGACGACGACGACGACGACGACGACGACGACGAAGGGGACGGAAGCGATCCTGAAGCTGCTGGAGACACACGAGGCGTCCGCTCCATGGAGCGTCTGCAAGGTACTCACTTTCCCCCCGACGCGACCCACTCGCACACAAGTTGATGAGATTTGGGACGCGAGACTCGTCATGATTGCAGGCAATGGCTCAACGCAGGGCGGGCCTTTGGGCGAACGTGAGCTTTGAGAAGCAGTGGAGCGAGGAAGGCGTTTTCCACGTGGAAAGTGCGCTTGAGATTGCCAGGTCGTTTCCCCGTCACTCTCCCTCTCCCCCCACACCTGACTCGACTCGATCCGATCCACTCAACATTCGATGCAATGAGTGTGGAGAGGAAGTCTGCGAATGGATGTTGACGCGGGTGATGGCTGAATGGGGGTTTGTATTTTTTGTATTTGCTTCCTCGTTCAGCCGCTCGCAAACTGAACGCAAACATCCAAGCTCATCCTGGGAGTGACAGCGACACGGACTCGGACGATGACGACGAGTTGGTACGTCCGTTGAGATTCTGCACAATGTGGTTTGCTTGGTTTTTGCGAGTGGTTTGTGCTGATGTTGGTTTTTGTTTTCATCACCCTTCTTCTCCACAACCAACCCCGACTCACCTCGCAGCACTCCCGAAACACGCTCGGCAAAATCCCGCTGCATTGGTACGACGGCATGCCACACATTGGCTACGACTTGGATGGCCAGCGCATTACGCGACCTGCCACCAAGGACGAGCTGGATCAGTTCCTTGACACGATGGACAACCCGGATCACTGGCGCACGGTGAAGGACAAGAACACGGGCAAGGAGGTTGTCCTGACAGAGGACGAGGTCGAAATGATCCAACGCCTCCAGACGGGTGGTTATGCCAACCTGGACTACAACCCATACGAGGACACGATTGAATGGTTTACGAGCGTCAAGCAGATTCATCCCATCAACAACCGCCCTCCATCCAAGCGTGCGTTTGTGCGATCCACCTGGGAACACAAGCGTGTCATGAAGTTTGTGCGTGCCATTCGTGAAGGCCGCATCAAGGTGGAATCCAAGGACAAGCTCGGAACTTCGCGGCAAGAGCCCGAACACCGCGACTTTTACTTGCTCTGGAACGACGATGAGGCGAAAACCGACGCACCCAACTCGGTCCAAAACTCTCAACACATTGCCGCTCCCAAGATGCGTCTGCCCGGCCACGAAGAGTCCTACAACCCTCCTCCAGAATACTTGCCAACAAAGTGAGTGATTTTCCCTGGTTTGAGGGGGTGGGGTAGGGCGGGGTGTCAGTTGTCAGTTGTTGCCTTTCGTGATTCTTGACCGTCCCTGCAGGTCTCTAACATTGCTGTGTGTCTATGTGTGCATGTGTATGTGTGCGTGTGTCTTTTCTTTTGACTCCTTCCCTCTAGGACTGAGATTGAAGAGTGGAACAAGATGGACAAGGAGGATCGCCCTCTCAACTTTGTGCCTCAAAAGTTCAAGTCTCTGCGTCAAGTCCCCGCTTATTCCCGCTTTATCCAGGAGCGATTCGATCGCTGCTTGGATTTGTACTTGAGTGCGCGCGTCAAGAAGAACAGGATGAATGTCAACCCCGAATCGCTCATTCCGCAATTGCCGCGCCTGGACGATCTGCAGCCGTACCCAACCACGCTGGCCCTGGTCTTCGGCCCGGGCCACCACACTGGCAAGATCCGCAACATGTCTATCCATCCTTCTGGCCATTGGCTTGCAACGGGTGCGGACGATGGTCTTGTGTGCGTTTGGGAAGTTTCCACCGCACGGTGTCTCTTCACGTACAAGGCTGGCGATATTGTTTTGGGCGTTGCCTGGAACCCGAATCCCGCCATCCCACTCCTTGCTGTCGCGGCAGGCAAACGAGTGCTGCTCCTCAACGCCAATCTCGGTTCCAAGGAGGCTGTCGACCAGCTCGACGAGCTGCTCAAGGAGACGGCGCATGCCGCCGCCAACGAGTCTGCCGCCGCTGCAAAGCAAGCCGAAAGTGACGACGATGACGACGATGACGAAGGCTCCGGCCGTAGCCGACGGGAAAGCAAGAGTCCGAGCACCAACAGCAACAGCGCAGCCAATGCAAGCAATGCTGCCTCGTGGGAGCCTGCCACTGCTTCCGAAACCTTGGCTGGTGTGCGTGTTATTGTTCGCCTCAATTTCCCCGTGCGCCAAGTCACCTGGCACCACAAGGGCGACTACTTTGCCTCGCTCACTCCGGACGCGCCCACTGCCGCCGTCCTTATCCACCAGCTGTCCAAGCGCAAGTCCCAAAATCCCTTCCAAAAGTCCAAGGGTCTTGTTCAGCGCGTGCTCTTCCACCCAACACGGCCTTTCTTGTTTGTTGCGGTAAGCTGCTATGGCGTTTGTTTGTTTGCTTTTGTTTTGATGTGTTCTCGTTTTGGCGTCGTTTTCTCATTTTCCTTTGAAAACTCCATCTTTGATAAAAAAAAAAAAAAAAACAGACGCAACACTATGTCCGCGTTTACAATCTTCTCAAGCAGGAGCTTGCCAAGAAGCTCATTTCGGGTGTCAAGTGGATTTCCAGCATGGACGTTCATCCTGGCGGTGACAATCTAGTCATTGGCAGTTACGATCGCAAGCTCTGCTGGTTTGACATGGATCTCGTGTCTGAGGGCTCCTTGTTTTTTAGTGTTTTGTCGTTTTCGCTCAGCGCAATGCCTCTTTCCCGCCCCCCCTCTTCTCGTACTAGGTATCACCGCATGGCGCTTCGCTCTGTCGCATTCCACAAGCGTTTCCCACTGCTTGCGTCTTGCAGCGACGATGGTTCTACCCATATTTTCCACGGCATGGTGTACAACGACTTGCTGAAGAACCCTCTGATTGTTCCTGTCAAAAAGCTTACTGGCCACACGACTGTCGACGATCTATGTATGTTGTCGCAGTTATTTATGATTTTTTTTTCGTTGTGATGATGTTTCGTTTTTTTTTTCTGACTTTTTTTTTTCCGGACTTTCTTTTGTTTGTGCAGCGGTTCTTGATGTCCAGTTCCACCCCATCCAGCCATGGCTTTTCTCCGCTGGCGCCGACGGCACTGTGCGCATGTATGTCTGAGCATGTTTTGAACGTGGCGAGGATTTTGTAGTTTCATTTGATCAAAACAAAACTTCAATCATCAACGTTGGATTTCTGTGCCTGGTTGGTACTGTTTGGTTGATTCCAACATTTAGTGCAATTCCACTAGTGGCATGAGATGGGAGGGGGGGGGGGAAAAGAAGGGGAACTCTCAGAGAAACAACAGAACCACAACTAGTGAGTGGCCGTTGCGTGTCGATCAAACAAACACTCTCCAGCACTCCCTGGCCTCTCTAATGCGCACCCGGTGATTGACGTGATCAACGGAAGGCTTCTTAATCTTCGAATGAAACCTGAAAGTGGCCAGTTGTAGACGCTGATGCTGCAATTCGTTTTATATTGCACCAGTACCTGGCATACCACGGTTTCTATTTCACCACATACCACTGGTTCCGGAACAACAAAGGTACAACGGACATGCAGGCCAAAGAGTATAGCCGGGGACAGACACGCACAAGTCCACAAACACGCAACATCAACATTCAAGCAAGAGGATCCTTTCCACCATCGAAGGCAGGGTGAACCTTGACTTGACGCGATGGAATGTCAAAATGAAGAGACTCGAGGAGCTGTTTCAAACTGCCTATTTCTCTTTGTTCTGTCGCTTGAAGGTAAGCGTATGTGAGATCCTCTTGCGCATCCAGCCGCTGCAACGCAGGAACTTGGAATGACATTGCGCGTAACAACTCGGCACACAATGCGCGAAGGGTCGGAGCAGGAGGGTAGGACATGACGCCAACGGTCAGAAACTCAAACAAAGCATCGGCCAGCGGCTGTCGAGACGACGACGAAATCCGGCTCAAACCGCCGTTCTGGAGCAACAGTGCGGCGCGCACTGCTTCCCACAGCATGAATTGGATTGATTCCCTTGTCGTTGCCGTTAGCAGCTTTTCAGGGAGTTCCACCAACTCCGCGAGGCAGACATCGATCTGCTTTGCCCGATCAACGCGGGACCGTGCTGGATCGACAGCGTTCAAGCCTGCAACCGTTGAAGTGGCAAAACACAACGGGTCCGACTCCCAGTGGTTGTCGCCATCTGTGGGATCATCGACCCCAAAGGGTTTATTGCACATCTCGGGCAAAGAAGGTGCCTGCGAATAGGTTGCGGCCCCAGCGGGTGCGTTGGGTGAGGCGGAGCTGGGGTTGGTGGAAGGGTTGGGCTGTTTGGCGAGTTCCAGCAACCCTTGTAGACTTTCGAGACGAACGTCTTCAGTTCGATCGGTGGACATTGCTGCGTTGGAAATGAAATGAAATGGGGGTGGGAGAAGAGAGAAGAAGGCGCGAAAACGGACTGAGACTTGGTTGTCCAAAACCAGACCCCACTCTTCGGCTGTGTGTTGAATAGACCAAATAGCACTCACGTGTGAATTTTGAATGACGTTTATTGGAGAGTGGAAAAGCCTCGATGGCACAAGTTTGCAGTCCTCACCTTCGAATGTGAACTACCGTCTGTTCCCCCTTGATGCGCATCTCCTCAATGAGACACTTGCACACCAGTTTGCAATCCTCACCTTTGAATGTGAACGTCCGTCTGTTCCTCCTTTTCGTGGTTTTTGAGCATGAAAGGATTACCCTGCCTCGTAGAGGAGGTGCGCATCACGAAGAGCACATCCTGCAACGAATGCCCAGTTTCAAAGGCTCAATTGGCAAAGGTTGAGTTGAGTCTGGGTGATTCCTAGCGCACGAGCCACCCTGATACGTCGCGAGCGCGAGGTGACTGTGTAGTCGTTCTCAGGATCATTCTCGTCCTCGCTTTCTTCGTCCACCTCGCCATAGAACTTCAACAATGCCTGCGACTTGTCCTTGTTCCAAGTGTTGGCAATGCGCCCACGACCGCCCTCGGGCTGCTCGACGGCAAGCCGTTCATTGCCGGCAACCAATAGCGATTCCACGGTTGGGGGAATGGTGACAGGCATCTTGACGTAGCCTGGCTTCTCGTCGCTAGCTTCAGCGGAATTGATCGTCGATCTGAGCTTCGGCTTAATGTCGACCGTGATCGTCCCGTCAGGCAATTGGCCTTCCTTGTTGGGTACGAGACGAATCGGTTCAGCTCGTCCGAGCTGCGAGTTTGCATGCAGACACATTCTAGTGTGATCAAACCAGGTGAGCATCCAAGCACATTGTTTTTTGTTTTTTGGTTTTGTTGTTTTAGTTTTGGCTCACCCCAAAAAATCGCCTCAGAAAAAACCCAAAACAAACAAACAAACAAAAAATAACAAATAAATAATCTCGGCTCCCAAAAACAGCAACCCCCGCCACCCCTCTCAATCCACCACCTCTCGCCGGCTCGTCGCCTTGCTCTGATACCTCCTGCCTCGCTTTTTGTGTCTCGTTGCAGTCGCTTTTCTCAGACAACGGCTCTTCTCTCAGGCAACGGTCGTTTGAACTCGTACATGCATTTGAATTTGAAACGGTTTCGTGCATTTCTTACAAGCGCTCAAGCTTATTGTCGATGGCGCCGATGCGCTTGTCAATACTCTTCTCCAAGATGCCGATGCGCTCGTCAATACTCTTCTCCAAGGTGCCGATGCGCTGGTCAAGCAGCGCGGTGATTTGCGTGATGATTGCTTCCGTGAAGGCTTCCATGGTTGGTTTCTGAAACCAGAAAAAAAAAAAAAAAAAAAGACTGCGCCTCCCAATTTGGATGCCTTCAGACTCAGAAAAAAAAAAAAAAGAATTAGGCGCGGTTTGGATCAGAGACTCAGACTCATTCAACTGAAATGGATAGGCGCGGTTTGGATCAGAGATCGTTCCACGAAGATACGAGTAATGGGGTTGATGATGAGAGTAATAATAGGGAAACAAGAGACTTCACTGAAAGAGGGTGCTTCTGATTGTGAACACAAGGGCCCTCGCGACCGACAGAGGCTTCCAACGTGTTTCCATCGCCCTGCAGTTCTACTATTATAGTCCCAACTCGACTACGTAAATTGTGTTCTTTCCAATGATTTAGGTGACAGGAAGGAGATGACCGGGGGGGGGGCTGGAGTCGTTTTCAGGCGAACATCGTTCTGGACTCGATTGACTCCGTTTCTTCTTGTTAACACCCCGAAAGAAGGGGGAGGGGAGGTGAAGGAATTTGACAACCAATTTCATGACATGACCTTGAACAAACGGCGCTCCTTGCCCAAAAACAACAAAGAAAAGTCAGTTCAGTCAGTTTCAGTTTTTGAAGGAGATGCGCCTGTTTGGAAAGCCAAAGCCTGCAGCGCCAGTGCCGCGCGACGCCATCCAGCACCTGCGCGAGACCATCGAGACACTCGAGAAGCGAGAAAAGTTCCTCGAGAAGAAGATGGAAGCCGAGCTCGAGACTGCCAAGCGACTCGTCTCCAAGAACAAGAAGGGTGCGTACGGCAGCGATTTGGCACTCGATTTTCAACTCCTATTGGCCGTTGGGCCAAACAACCTGTGCTTGAAATGAGTGAGAGTGTGCATGGCGACGGAGGTTGGACAGACCGAGCTGGGAAGTGCAATTGCACAGCGAAAGAAGGCACAAAAAAAAAAAAAAAAAAAAAAAAAAAAAGAGCATTGCTGCGACCGACGACCGTGCGCCTGCTTCAGAAGCACCAAAGCTCGTTCTGTTCTGTTGTGTGTCACGCACCATTCTATTTTGCAGCGGCGTTCACACAGACACGACGGGAGAGTGGGCGAAAAGCGCCTTGCCTTCTTGGCTGTCTGCCACTCGTTTTCGTTCGTTCCGAGTGACGTTTTCGAGGTCCAGTCGCTGAGGGCGCCTGCTTGGCTTCATTGATGCGCCTCACTCGTCCGACGGTTTGTCCATTCACATTCCAAAGGAACCAGCAGCAAAGCAGAATGAATGAAGCGACGAACGAACGAACGACCGTCCTTCAAAAAAAAAAAAAAAAAAAAAAAAAAAAAAAGCTTAAAATCGAGAACGAATCGAACGTCATCAAAAGCTGCCTTTTCATCCAACAAAAAGGTCGAAAAGTGCTCAAAGTGCATGCAACATGTGCGATTTGAGATTGAGACGCTCGTTGTGAGATGATAATCATTTTGAGAGGGAGTGGGGACGGCGGGGCATTGAGGAAGAGAGTTCGGGTTTGCTGAAATGTCGTTCTGCTGCTGGCTGTCATTGAAGTTCGGCTCACTCGTCGTTCTCGTTGCCCTTTGGTGTGTTTCGATTGTGACAACAGGCGCAATGCTCGCTCTCAAGCGCAAGAAACTGTACGAAGCGCAGATCGAAAAGCTCACTGGCGCACGAATGACGCTCGAGACACAAGTCCTCACCATCGAGGGCTCGACTGTCAACCTGCAAGCCTTCAACGCAATGGCTCAAGGCGCTGCCAGCATGCGTGCCATCCACGGACAAATGTATGCGAGTCCTCTGCCCTCGCTTTGTGTTGGCGTTGACCATCAAAAAGGGGCCTTTTTTGAAATGATTGTTTGTGTTTCTGTGACACACGCTCGCTCACCCTTGCGCACTCGGTCTTCCTTTTTTTTTTCTTGTTCAGGAACATTGATCGCGTGGATGCTATTATGGACGATGTCCGCGAGCAGATGGACCTGGCGTCGGAGGTTGCCGGTGTCATTTCCGAGCCATTGGGGAATAACGACATTGATGAGGTACAAATTTCTGTCCTGTCGATGCCAACAACGTGACTGTATCATCAGTCGATCTCACGTGAGAAACGCTTGCGTGCGAAAAAAACACTCTGTTGTAGGATGAACTTAACGCTCAACTCGAGGAACTCGAACAAGAGGAGCTGGATGCCAAGCTGCTTGACGTGCAAAACGTGCCGACGACTTCCTTGCCGAATGTACCAACAACAGAGCTGCCAACCCCCGCCGCAGCAGGTATGTTGTTGTTTGATAGGCAATAGGATTTGCTTTCTCCCTTGCTAATCATTTTTCATTTGTGTTTTTTCGGAACAGCACCGTCAAAACAAAAAGCATCCCGGGTGCGAGACGAGGACGAGGACGAGCTCGAGCAACTGCGACAAGCAATGGCCAATTAACAAGGCTGTTGTTTGACTGAGAAAATTGTGTCTTGTTTCTGTCGGGTCGCTTCTACGTGTAACAAAAAGCCAAATTTTTGGTTCAATTATTGGTTGGCTTGGCGTTCAACTCGGTTGGTTTTTGGTGTTCTTAGTTGCGAACAGGCCAGTTGTGGTTTATAAAGAAAAAAATTGTACAATGAGGAAAACACGACCCAACAACGAATAAAAGAGCATCACTACGCGATGCTGGTCAATGAAGCACTTGTCGCTCCAGCAGGCGGCTCGACCGCGGCTTCCACCGAGATGATGCAGGAATAGCCTTGCTGAACGACGACGGTGGCAGGTTCGCCCGCGGCTGCGCTCGACGCAGGGGCCACGCCAACGAGCCCAGGGGAAGGCGTGACTGGAACTTGCAGCGCGGTGCCAGCGCCCTGTGTCGTGGTCGACACCACAGCCGCAGGAGTGGCAGGCTCGTTGGCTGCCGCACCAGACTTGGGAACGACCGCGTTGTAGGAGACACGCAAGCGGTGCATATCGTACAGACCGGGCTGCAAGCAACACATTTCCAAAGGCTGTTCTGCACGCTGGCGTGGCAGCAGCGTAGTGCGACGCTGGACGACACCAGTCCATTGGTAGCGTGAAGTAGAAGGGACACTGTGTGAAGCGAAACGAAAAAACAAAACAAAAAACAAAATAAGTTGCGGAAGCTTCTCAATGAATCGCTGCACTCCATTTTTCTTTCTTGTGAGCGACACTCACTTTAAAGTGCCATGGAGCACAACTGGGGGCAGCAGCTCCACCACAACTTCAAAAGCGGTTGTGTGGGAGCGATTGAACAGCACCAGTGTTCCTTGCACATGGCACAGACTGCTCATGGGAGAAACAAGACAAAGTCGGGTGAGTTGCAACGTAAAATCACCAAGACACACACACACACACACAAAAAAAAAAAAGAAAAAAAAAGGAACAAAAACATACCGCCAAGCCGAAAACAAATGAGATCGCTCGTCTGCAAACTGCAGTGCATATTGGATGGGCTGCGACGACAGGGCGGACACGGTCGCGAAGGGCAAGCTGAGGCTACTGGCGTCGTTGTTGGCCAACACGGGCAGATTGCCGGTACTCAGCGTTTGCTGCGCGGCGGCGGATTCGGAAGTCAGGAAGCTGCCCGACGAGAAAGCGCCAGAGTTGGAGCGCGAGTGGCCAATGGCGTGGTGCTGCCCAGGCGCGATGGCGGAGGCGGGGCTGACACTGCCAGAGGGCGAGCGCGTGTTCATGTCAAGGCTGGCGAACGACAAGGACGATCCAGCACCAAAAGCAGCATTGGAGGTAGGAAGGGAGAGAACAGGCGCAGGCAGGGCCATGTCCACTTGGAAGGCGTGGAGCTGGCCTTGGGCAATGCGCTGAACGCCGCGCCAGAACAGGACAACTCCCAAGCGATCGCTGCCCATCATGGACAGTGCGGCGAACTGTGGGACTGGAGCAGGTGTGGCTGGGCCGGGAGTGGCAGGTGCGGGCGAAGACGACGACGGTGTAATGAATGGCACGAGCCCGGACGACGTCGGGACGCCCATGGACGGCGAGGCACCCAGGAGGCTGGCAACAAGTGCGGCCTCCACCTCTTTGGCTTGCACCTGCGCCGAGCAAAGCATAAAGTTCAGCGCCGGCGCCGTACGCGGATCAATATTGCCCGCAGGCCCCGTCGAGCCGAACGGACAGGTCGAAAAGCAAAGTGGGAAGGGCTGCGGAGCGACGCTGGGACCGCTCGGAGTAGAAGGGGATTGCGTCACGCCAAACATGAGTTTTGGCACTGCCAAGCTGCTGGAGGCAGCAGAGGACGTGGGTGCCTCAACAGGGAAGCGTTGAGCCAGATCACGAACCTCTGCCGGCGCGATTTCGGTTGCGCGGAAGTAGATTGACACAACCTCACGCGGTGCCAGCTTCAATGCTGATGAACCCGTCAACGCCACGGCGGCAGCGCTGTCCTTGTCGGCAGCCGATCTGCGAGCGAGGGGCACCAGACTCCAGTTGCCAGAAACGGCTGAAACTTGCTCGACGGAAAACTCGTGCGTGGTGTGCATGTTTTCAACTTCAAGCGCAACAATCTGCTCATTCACCTGCGAGGTGGCCGGGCGGCAGGAGGCAGAAACACGCAGCGCCGGCATGACAGACAATCCCAAGCAAAATCGCTGCAGGCGATACCCCATGCCTGCGGACTTGGTCGCGGTGGAAGACGACACACTGCGGTCCGCTTCATAGTAGAAGAGCATGCTGAACAGGTGATCGCCAAGCTCGTCGCCGCGGACAAAGACTGGGACGACCAACGAGGATCCCGGCAGCAACGTGCCGCCCTTGTTGTTGGTGGCGTTCCCGAGCGGGATGGTTTGGAGCGTGACGTCCGAGAATGCATCCAGCGAAATGGGAGCCACCGTCTTGCCAGCCGAGTCGGCAAAGTTCTGTTGTGGTGCCAATGACGCTCCACCGTGCAGCACCGACCAGTTGAGGCGCGTCCGCTCTTCGGGAGCGGCGGGAATAACGTCATACGGAGAGAGCGCCGTGACATGCGATGCAACGGATGAGGCGTCTTCTGCCGCATTCGACGCGGTGCCAAACGAGATGAAGGCCGGGTGCGAAAGCTTGACGCGCAAGTTGCGCATCGCAAAGTTGCCGGTATTTGCCACTTCGAGCGTGGCGCGAACAACTTCGCCATTGTACACGGACTCTGGCACGCCAGTGAACTTGACCAGCAGTTTGGGCATAGGACCGGTGACTTCGAGCGTCAGGCGATTGTCGCCGGCATAAATCTGGTCGAGTTTGTGCTTTTTCGTCGAGTTCAACCGCTTGCCGCGCAGAACAAAGTCACGTCGCCCCTTGATGTTTGCTCCCACGCCCAGCGTGTAGACCAGGCCACGGACGCGAATAAAGCCCTCTGTAAGAGGTGTCACAAGCAGTCGAATCGTGCGACGCTCGCCGCCAGCGAGCTCAATCTTTTCAATCACCTCAGTCGCAAAGGCGTTGGCAGCGTTGGACGCCTGCTGAGCCAGCTGATCAGCAAGACATGGCCGGTTGGTCAGCTGGTTTGCAACTCGCTCGCGCGTTCGCTGGGCATCGGCTGAAATCTCAGTCTCCAGCGTGGGCGCAGTAGTGGAGAACAAGCACCTCAAACTGACGCGGTGGAGTTGTAATGGGAGTTGGAGTGGGTTGTACACCTCAATGTCAATCTTGACGGGTTCTGTAGAATTTTCAAGAAACGCAAAAACAACACACCCATGTCCACACAAACGAAGCGAGTGAGCAACACAGAGACGGCTCAGCGTTCCAAAAACAACAACCCCCCCCCAAAAAAAAAAAACGCCATGGTACTGACCTCCGACAACACACACAGTCCGCGGGCGAATGTCGGAACGAGCAGCAGCTGCCGCCATGGCTGCCATCGCGTTGGGCATGACGCTTGCAGCTGAAGACGATGCGCCCACTTGCTGGGTTGATGCAATCAGGTTCTTCTCCATCTCGACCCACTCTTCTCGGGTGAGCTTTGATTTGAGCTGCGTGGATGTTTCATCCAGCACAACCTTGATTCGAGAGCTGTTGAGATGAGGCACAGGCAGCGTTGGGAGGACGTCACTGCCATCGTCGAGCTTGCTCGAGTAGTTCTTGTAAATGGTCAGAAACTCTTTCAAATAGTTCAGCTTTTGCTGAATCGGGGTGTCTCCGCTGCTAATCAAGTCAAAGAACGAAACCAAGGCCTCTTCCAGCAAGCCCAGTTGGTTGGACTGTCTGCCCAGAGTGGTTTGCGTGTGATCGTCCGCAGCGCTCCACGCGCGGTTGCCAAAGATCTTGAAAGCACTCGTGTAGCAACGCAGCGCGTGTTGTCGCTGGTGAGTTCATCGAAAGGGAGCAACAGGAGTAGAGTTAGATGAAATACCTTCACGAAACAAAACAAAACAAAACGAAAAAAAAAAGCCACCAATACCCCCCCCACACACACACAACCACGCAAAGCGCCTGTCGCATCACATCCTCTCACCTGTTGACACTTGGAAAAGCGATGGCCGGCAAGAATCAAGTGGAAGGAATATTTGCGGAACATGACAGGATTGAGTCGCAAGAAGCAGTGACCAGCCTGCTCGAGAAGCAAAGCACTTCGCAAGTCGGAATCCTGCAATAGCACAATCAAAGAAACATGACAGCAAGGAAACAGTTAGAACACTTGGCAAATTGAAGGAAGACGACAATCCACCAACAAACGCACGCAGTCCACCTCTCACCTCTCCAGTCATTCGAATAAAGGCGGATGCAGCCTCGCGGAAAAGCCCTTTCGCTTTGAACACTTCGGTTGCGAGCATGGTGGTGCGTGCAGCAAACGTGGGCCATTTGCACCGCGTGAGATAAATGGTGGTGGCCGACTCAAAGTAGTGGTCGTAATCCTTTTTGTGGGCCTCGGACATAAAGTACGACAGGCCCGTCATTTCTTGCGCACCGGCATAGTACTTGAACGCCTTGTCGTTGCTAAAGTCCTTCTTGATGGTATGGAAGGACGTCGCGGCAAAATCATAGTCTTGCAGCATGAAGGCGAGGTCGGCAGCGCGGCGCAGCAAAATCTCGTTCGGGACACCGACCAACGACTGTTGCAACGCGGTAATGTTTGCACCTCCAATGACTGCAGCCGGAGCACCGGGGGCTCGACCGACTGCGGGAGACGCAGCCGTTCCGCGAGGGGCGTTCACGGGACTGGTGCCAGGCTTGTTTTGCGCTTGCGAGCTCGAATCATTGCCACTGCCAAACCAACGCTTTGCGGCCGTCACCACCGACTTGCGAATGCCGCTCTTGCTGGCATTGATGGTGTCGTTGATTGTCTGCACCACGCGCTCCATGTGCGGAATGGAGAACTTGAGAGCGACCTCGACGGCAAAGTTGCGCAGATTGACGACATCGTCCACGGACAGGTAGTATCCACGCTGGCCCCCAGGGAAGAAGCTCGCAGGAGGGACGGAATAAGGGCCAGACGAAGCGAGTGTGTTGGCCATGGTTGACGCGGGCGAGCCTGTTGCGGCGTGGCCTGCTGCACCCACGGCACCTCCCATGGAGGGATGGATGGGGCTGCCGGCACCACCAACAGAGAGACGGACGACGGGGTGGCCCGACAAATTGCCGTCATTGGCCATGCTGGTCAGCGGATCGGAGAATGTCGGCGGCGAGGTGGTGGTGGACAAGCCCGAGACCGAAGAAACCGACGATGGGGTTGGTGACACTGACGACGAAGTGGTGGTCGTTGAGGACGAGGATGCCTGCGTCGAGTTGAGGTCGATGGAGGTTCGCGATGGCGAGTCGGAACCAGCGTTGAGCGAAAGCATCGAGTTGCTGAGAGAGGCCGGGATGGACGACAGCAGTCCCGATGCACCAGCGGCACCGCTGGGCGTGACTGCTTCAAACATGAGCCCTGACCAGACGTCCTGGACTGGCGACAAATCCTGGCGCTTGTTTGCGGGTGCGCTGGCAACGTCAAGCGGCGAAATCATTGTTCGCGTGTTCATGGGCATAAAGTACACATTGGATGGGCCATACATGGCGCGCAGCGAGGTGAGCACGGCCTCCGGGTCACAGTTCTGAGCAAGCTCGGCGTCGTGAACGAGCAAGCAGACGCGAGGAATGTTAATGTCCAGCATGTTGCTCTGGAAGGCTGCCGGCGGGTGCAAAGGGTCGAAAGCAGCACGAGCAGCAGTGACGGGATCTAGTGCAATTGTCGACACGGCCACGACACAGGCGACGGGGTGGTAGATGTATTCATGGGCGGACGGGCGCAAGAGTCGCACAACCGCATCCCGATACGCCTCAAACCACGGCGTCAACGGCCGGCTCTCGCTCTCAGCAAGCACGCGAGCGACATCCTCGCGCGAAGTGATGCTTGCAGAGGGAGGCACGATCGCATCCAATGCAGTTCGCTGGAGCGGGATGGCGAGGGCGCTGTCATCACCCGCACCAGCACCAGCACCAGCACCAGCACCAGCACTCGTTCCAGTCGCCGCTGCAGGTCCTGATGCTGCAGATGCAGCCGCCTGATGCTGGTACACTGAATGAGCACGCACCGTGACGTCTGTCAGCACCCTGTTCATGATGGCTGCCGTGACTGGCTCGAGGTCTGCCGGCTCTACAAAGTGGAACGGCATGTCCTGCAATGGTCTGCGCGCGTTGTTGGCTCCCGCTGCGCCTCCCGCCGAGCCCTGCTGGTGCGACTGCTGCGCCGCCTGCTGCGACTGGGACGGCGCCATCGTTCTTGCAAGGTCTGTGGGGGGGGGTTTCAATGAAGACGGCGGGGCGGGGGCAGGAAAAGGGCCAAAAGTGAGTGTCGTTGGCTGGGCTTTGGTTGCTCTCGCTCATTCACGCTTGCCCCATCGTCACCCAAAACAACCCACAATGCAAATGAGCATCAGCAGTAGTGCGTTTTCCCCCAAGGTGTTGATGAAAAGTGACACACCAGCGCTCAATGGAGATAGAGAGAGAGAGAGAGAGAGAGATCTCGTCTTGGTGCACTCTCAGCAAACTCGAATCTCGCTCTTCCAGTGCCATTTGGGAATCGTGAGGGTTGTGTGTGTGAGAGTGAGAGAGAGAGAGTGTGTGTGTGCGTGTGGCTCACCGGCGGCAGGGACGTTGGCAAAGGGACGCAGCGCATCGACGAGCGTCAAGCCATTGCGTCGGAAGACCTGCTGGCAGTCGTCCGAAGCGCACACGAGCACGCGCGGGCCCAACGCGTACCGGATGAACTCGTGCGGCGACTGCGACATGCGCGCCATGGCTTGCGAGAGGAAAAGAGAAGGAAAGAGAAGGAAAGAGAGAAGGAAAGAGACGAGGTGAAGTGGAAGAAAAGACTGCCGCTGCAATTTGGCTCCAATAGAGCAGTGTCAATGGCAATCCAAGCTCAGCAACACGGGCCAGCGTTGTTTTTGAAGTCCTAGGAAGCAAACCGGGGGGAGGGCAGGGAGTTGGGGGGAGGGCAAGGGAGGGATCTCTCATCTGATCAGCTGTGTGAGTTTTTGAAATTCGTGTTCCACTGGATTATGATCGATCACCACCCACCCACCTGCGCGCTCGGTGTTGCAGTCTGATCTGGCTCACTGTTTCTTCTCTTCAGTTTCTCAGACCAAGCTCAGATCGAGACCAAGATCAGCATCCAAAAGTTCGTTCACTCCTAATTTTCAATCTGTCAAAATCTTTGAACCAGCTTTTTTTTTTTTTTTCTCTTGTTCTTCTGTGTTTTTAATCGCTGACCTTTCCCTTCATCCACGATGGCATCTGCTGACTCCAAGTCTGACGCATCGTCGTCGCTGCCAAAGCTCGAATCCAAGCTCGTCATCAATCCCGCAACCGAACTCGTCTTCAATGGTAACAGAAAGCGACAACCAACCAACAAAACAACAACGAACAAAAAAAAAAAAAAAAAAAAAAAAAAACGAAAAAAATCACAATGGAAAACTCAATGGAAAAGTCGAAAAAACAACAAGATTTTTTTTTTTTTTTTTTTTTGCTCCGTTCTCTATCGTTTCAGTGCCACATCAGTGCCACCGCAAGCACTTTTTCCATTCCTCTGGTTTTTCTCTGTTGCTGCAGCCACTGAACCAACAGCGACGATTGCGTGCTTGGCTGCTTTGCTATCGCATCAGAGCAAGTGTGGAGCTGTGACAGAGGAAGGGGAGAGGGGAAAGTGAGAGAGATGCAGAAGCGAGGTGCGTCTTTCGCCACTTGACCTCCTTCTCTCTGGCCTCGCAGTCCGCTTCGCTCAAACCACACCCTTGTTGACTAGCGTGCGTGCTGTTGTCTTCCATCATCAAACCCTCCGTTGGTCTGCTGCTGGCTTGGCACCATGGCCTCCTTTTTTTTTTTTTTTTTTTTTTTTTTTTTTTTTTTTTCTGGTGTGCCACTTTTCGCTTTCTCTCCTCGCTTGCGTTCACCAGTGTCCGGCTCGTTCTCTCTGCCACTCTCATCCCCGTTTCCTTTTACTCTAACATCGGTTCATCCCGACACCGAGTCACCAGCAGCAGCAGCAGCAGCAGCAGCTCTATGAAGAGGGTCATCAAATCGTCAGCGTCGGCTTTTTTTTTTCTTTTAATTTTATTTTACGATTATCTCGCTTTTTGTGCGCGCTTTTTTTTTTTTTTTTTTTTTTTTGTTCTTTGTTGGGATGCGTCTTTGATCAACGTCAACACGGATGAAGGCTCAAGTAGCAGAGGATTTAGTATCAGTACGCGATGCAAACTGGTTTGACAGTTGGAAGTCTGTCCAAACAAGCAAACCATCAAACAAAACCAAAAAAAAAAAAAAAAAAAAAAAAACCTGCGATCTCGGCAGTCAGGACAACGAACAGAACAGAATAGAACGAGAACGAACTGTGCAACGCGAGAGAGGACCAACAGCAGACCCCGACTCTCAATGCTGATGCTTTCGATAACCAAACGAAAACCCCCCCCCCCCACACGCTTGCCTGTGATCTGGACGAACAACGCGCGCGACCTCAAAACTGACCTCGATTGGAACATTTGCGCAGGCTCCAAAGATCACACTGTCACTAGCATGCTCGCGCTGTCCAACCCGCTGAACGAGCCCATCCACTTCAAAATCAAGACCACCAACCCCAAGCGCTACTCGGTCCGTCCCAACGCTGGCGTTGTCCCGCCTCAGTCCACTGTGGAAGTTGCTGGTATGGAAATGATTGTGGTCTTCCTTTTGTTTGTGTGGTTGTCGGTGTCTGATGGGCTCATCGCCTTCATCCTGCGCCGAGACAGTGTCACTCCAAGCCCTGAAGGAGCCCATCGAAGAAAAGTTCAAGGACAAGTTCCAAGTGCAAAGCATTGTTGGCAATTCTGGCGGCGACACTATGGTAAAGCTCGACACACGCTCGCCACACGCGCGCACACACACACACACTTTCCTCGCCTTCTTCCACTCACGCTGCATGCAAAACCATTGTCAATTCACGCCAACAGTGGGAAAAGAAAGAGCTGATTGCCGAAAACCGACTCAAAGTTTCGCTGACCGCCCCATCAGCCGCCGGTCAGACCTCTTCTACGCCCGCCGCAGCAGAGCACGTATCCACCGCGAGCCCGAGCAGCGTCGCACACGCGCCAGTTTCAGCAGCGGCCTCCCAACAAGCTGCTCCTGCCGCCACAGCAGTTGCGCCTCGACGAGTCGCTCCAGCTGCCACATCTCCCGCACAGCCCGCTTCAGCCGTTTCTGCGCCTGCGGTTGTCGCCCCTGCCGTTGCTGCACCTGCTGCAACGATTGTGCAGCCTGCTCGCCCCGCTCCGACTGTTGCTTCCGACGACAGTGCTCAACGCGAAATCGCAACCCTTAAGTCCGCTTTGGCAGCCGTTCATGCCGATCTTGTAAGGATGACGCTGCAGCTCATTGTCCAATGTTTTCACCGACGTACCAAAGTTCTCATCGCCTCCCCTCCCGTTATTTTTTCATTTTTTTTGTTCGATCAGTCCGAGGCAAAACGAGCAGCCTCAGCTCAGTCAGGCTCGCTCAAGCAAAAGTCTGCACAACCGCAACAACTGCCGCTGCTAGTCGCCTTGGTGTTGGGCCTGCTTCTTGGAATCATTGTTGCGCGCATGTTCAAGTGAGCGGTTTTTTTTCTTTCTTTTTTTGATATTTCGGTCGTTGGTGTGTCCTGTTTAAGTCCTTTTTTGTGTGTGCGTTCCTTCCTTTTCCATTGTCGGGATTTGCGAGAAACTCGTGAGACACAGTGCCTACCCCTCCACCTCCCCATCCTTGCTACGAACCCTCCCGCCCCTTACATATTGCGTTTGTGATTTAATTTTTCCCTTTTGAAATTAAAAAACCAATCGAAAAACAATCAATCACACAAACAAACAATCAAACAAACAATCAAATAACCCCGTTCGTTATTCATTGCCATTTCTTTGAAGAGGCTCCATTCGAACTGCGAATCCAATCATACACTAGCTCGGCCATCTGCTCAGACCCGCCTTCCAGGACGAAGGCATGCTTGAGTTGACGCTCGCAAAGGATGGCACGGGCGGCAGGAAAGGTCTCGCGCGTTCGATCAAAATGCGACAACGGCACCCAGCCGTCCGTGCGGCCATAATAGAACACGAGCTTGTCCAGGTTGGCTTGGATGACACGCGAGTCCCAATCGCCAATCTCTTCAAACTCGTGCGCTGCCATGTACAGCACGTTTGAGATGGTTGACCGGCAAATCAGGTTGCGAACCGCATGCAAAATCTCCACCTCTTCGCCATGGCCCATAAACATGCGCACGAGCGTCTGGCGGATGGCAGAGTGCACGAAAATGTCCACCAAGCCTACAATATGCGCCAGCACGGGACGAATCTTGGTGAGGGGACCGATGCGGGCCGCATTCGGCGTCTTGCCAATGTACTGGATGGTCGGGAAGAGCAAGGTGGTGAGCGAGACGCGCGTCCGCTCTTGCGCACTCAGCCGCTGCAAAACCTTGAGGCAAATGTGCGCGCCGACAGAGTGACCCATGAGCACCAACTGCACGTTGTCCGGTTCGGAATTGGACTTGTCCAAGTTGTTGACACCGCCGTTGCGCAGCAATGCGCGAACAAAGTCCACCTTGTGTGCAATTTGCTCCTCCAAACTGAACAAACGGCCATTGTTCGCCGAGGCAATACTGTGGCCGGCATGCGAAATCGCCACGACATCCACAGAGTGCTCAGAAGCAGTCCACAAATGGCGCATGTACGGCAAGTAGAATTCGGCGACACCTGGATTGCCCGGAATCATGACGGCGATCGTTTTGCTATGCTGCTTGCGACTCGATGCAGCTCTGCTGGATGGTTTCTGGGCAGTCGTAGTAGCCGCAGCAGCAGTGGCTGTCGTAATAGCTGAAGACAAGTCTGCGGCCGCAAAATGGAGCACTTCCGTCTCAACGCCGCCCAGCGACATGAGCAAGCGCGAGTAGTCTCGTGGAATAGGACGCTTGTGGCCATCCACACAATCGCCCTGGTGGGTGCGATCGCCATGGGCACACAGATCATGATGGCGCGCGTGCTCCACCTCACGAACGCGGAGCGCGGCGGCTGCAGCGGCGGTCGGGATCGCATCGCCCTCGCCCTCGTCGCCGCTGGAGAGGGCATCAACGAACGCCGAGCGATGCCTGGTTGCAGAAGCAGGTCGACGGGCAGGAACGGAGGCGGCGTGCCCGACAGACCACCGCACCAGACGAACGACCAACCAACTCATGGCGGTGACAGCAAGCACCAGCGCCAGCTCGAACTGCATGCAGCACTGAACAAATGGGGGAAGAGAACTGGCAATGGCAACACTCTCAACCAAAAATCATACATAGCGAATTTGTTGTAATGGTAAACAAAATGTGGGGAGATTGCACAGACAAACAAAAATAAAAGATCGATCCTTAAGAAGAGGCTGCTTTAGCGGCGTCCTGCGCGGGCACGACCAGCCTCTGCACCCTTCTTGGCAGACTTGATCAGGCCCTCAAAGCGACCGGACTCGCCACCCGACTTGCGAGCGAGGCGGGGATTAAGCGCACGATGATCCAACTTGACGTACGAGAAAGGATCCGGCATGCCGTGCTTCTTCATATCACCCTCCGCACGCTAACCAAGCACAAGAAAGCAAGTGAGTATTGGAAGAAAAAACACGCACCCCCATCGAACGAAGCACGCTATTGCACATTCTCGCAGAGTAATTTTTGTTGAAAGGAAATCGTACCTTCGAGCGGAACGCTTTGCCACTCTCGTCACGCGAGCGCTTTTGCTCGCCGCCCTTGTCGGACTTGCCACGGTGGCCCCATGGCTTTTGAGAGCGACGCTCGCCAGCATCGTCATCGTCGTCGCGACGTCGCTTTCCGCGACCTGCAACGCTGCCAGAGGACTTGCCAGATTTGGCGCTCATCGCAGACTTGCCACTGCGGGCCATGCTCATTCCTGACTTGCCAGTCTTGCCAGTCTTGCCCGTCTTGCCAGTGGCAGACGTGCGATACGACTTTCGCGACTTGCCGTCGCCAATGTCCATGGCATCGTCGTCGTCCTCGTCCTCGTCTTCGTCATCAGAGTTCATCTCGCCATCAATGGAGCCGTCTTCCAGACCATCGTCATCGTCGTCGCCGTCCGAGCCGTCAGAGTCGTCGCCAATGATGAGGCGACCGTCCTTGGCGGTCTTGAAGGCATTGTCGTCAATCTTCTTGGGCTTTGGTTTGGTTGCTGTTGCAAAAGAAAGGATTGTACCGAGACCGTCAGATCAAACCACGCAGATCAAACCACGCAGATCAACCACACGCACACAAAGCTTCCAACACAATCGATTTCTGTTCTTTGTTTTGTCGAAACCTACATGAAATGCTCTGGAAAGCAGACGAGCTCATCAAATCGAGAGGATCTCCGTCAGCCAACTCGCGAATGAAGGCTGGGGTGGTGTGACGAGCATCGTCGAAAATGCTGCGCTCGCCCTTGAGCGACTTGCCACCCTTGCTCTTGCGGCCATCGTCGTCGTCATTCTCGTCGTCAGTATCGCTTTCGGAGCCATACATGGCCTCCTCATAGCTGACACCATGTTGCTGCTGCGCCTTGGACTCGAGCTATCCATTCAACGTTGCAAAAATAACGAAACAAAATAAAAGAACCAGATTAGCTTTCTCCTGGAGCATTCATTGGCTCGAAAGGGCATGCGCTGGGGGCAACATCTTACGAATTCCTGTCGCTTCTTGTCCTTGTCACGCTTGCTTCGGTCGTTCGCCTTGCGAATGTGAATAATAAGGCGTTGGTGCTCCGACGGAACAAAGTTCAGGATGTAGTTGTAGTCAAACTTGCGCAAGAGACGCTCAAAGATGACGCGAACCTTTGTCTTGAAGTGGTTGCGAGAATCCTCCGACCACAGCAACAGGCCGTTGATCTACACAAGCAGCAAACCAGAGGAGAGGTGGGAGGGCAGAAAGGGAAAAGTGAATAAAAAAACCCAAGGCGACACACACACACGATCGACAAAGTGACAATGCTCTCTGATCAAAACAAAAACGTACCAAAGCTTGGATGTGTTGGGCAAGCTCTTCGGGGGCAAAGATGGCCAAGCAGACCTTGACAAAGCCGAGCGCGGCCTTCACCACCTCGCGAGCGCGAGATTGCAACATGTCAATGACAGTGTCGAACAGGGAGTGAAGGGAATCGTGTGGGACATCCACTGTTGTTGATGTTGTTGTAGTTGTTGTTGGCAAGGCAGAACACAAGTTTGCGACGTGAGATACGAGTCTATGCTCACGACGAAAAACAAAACCACATCAACAAAGGATGACAATCTCTTACGCTTGAACTCATAAACCACGCGGGACAGCGCGAGAAGCGTGGCGGAAAGCATGTGCGGAGTTTCACCACCAAGACCAGCCACGATCATTTGCAAGTACTCGCCAATGGAGGCAACAGCTATCAAGACACACGCAGTTTTTGTCAGCGAACCAGCCTGCATCCCGGTGCAAAATACCAGTCATGCTTGAACAAGCAACTCACCCGAATGGCCATCGGCAACGGTGAGCGTTGCACCTTCTTCGCCGAGTCGCTTGATTGCCTCGCCGATTGTGGCAAGAAGGGCAAAAGCAGCATGACGAACCTTCTCGCTCACTTCCTTGGTTGCAAGGATGACTTCACCCACAACTGCTGGAATCAACGAGACGTTAGCGGGCTCGAGACGCTCAATGATGGCGCCCAAGCATTTCAATCGATGCTAAATGGCAAACGACATTCCCCGGCAGAAATGTGAGCAACCACACGAGCAGCATTCAGCAACAACAACAACAGCAGCAATAACAACAGCAGTGAACTGGAAGCCACATCGACTCACCTTCTTGGCAGAGACAGATGAGGCAGCCAAGGCGTCCGACATGAGATCCATCAAATCTTGGACGTGATTGGTCACAAACTCGTCGTGCACAGGCGTGGAGGCGCTGCACATGGCGAGAATGCACTTGTACGTCTTCTTTTGCACCGCATTGTCCGTGTCGTGCAGCAGGGGCTTCAGCACACGGTAGAGCAGGTCGAGGCTCGAGGCATCCAGACGAATAACCATGGTCAAGGCCAAATCCATCATTGCATGACGCTCGTTGGAGGACGCGAGGGCAGAGTTTGACTCATCCATCGACGCGCCGTTCGCCTTTCCACTGTTGACATCCGCGTTCAACAACGTGCGCATGACGCTCTTAAAGAAAGCATTCAGGACCTGCGTGAAGATGAAGACAACCGATTAGATACCACAAGGAGCAAAAAAAAAAAAAGTAAGCGTTTGAACAAAAAAAAACCCCCCCAACGGTCTGAAATAGCTTCCACAAAACAACAACAACAACAACAACAACAACAACAACAACAACAACAACAACAACAACAACCACAAGAACAACATTAAACATACCGCCTGGTCGCTGATGGTCACAAAGGCCGACACAGTGTCAAGGAGCTGGGCATGCTGGATGGCAGGAGCAGTGCCATAGACATTGTACAGCTTGGTGAAGAATGGCTTGGCAAAGCGAGAAATGACATCGAGCGAAGCACGGGCGGCGTCAGGGCTAAGAGGAAGCTCGCGAGACAAGGGCATCGACGAGGGTTGCACGGCAGGGCTTTCGACATCGTCCTCTCCTGCAGCGTCAGCCACCAGTTGAGCGGTGGCGGTCAATTGCTCGTACTGGTCGACAACTTGCTTGTTGGTGTTGATGAGCGTCATCAGCGCGTTGCACACGGGCACGCGCAGCTCCAACTCGTTGGCAATCACGGCGCCGAGGACTTCGGCCAAGCGGGGGAAGGCGGCGGGAATATCGGTGGGCAGAGTGCAGAAGCCGGGGAGCAAGTCCCAAACTTGGCTGCAAAGCGTGTCGTACGTCTTGGCTTGGTGTTCGTTGGTGACGGTCGAAGCCATTTGGCGGAATCGCTCAGCCATCGGAAGGAAGGCGGTGATAAAGTAGGCAAGCTCCGTGTTGCGAATGTTGGTCTTGAACATGGGGAGGAACCAGCTGCGCGGGAACTCGGCCATCGGGGCGTCGAGGCTGATGCCAAGCGGAACAATGTTCAGGAAACGGCGAGGACCCATCGCCTGCACGGCCTTACCGGCGCAGGCAATGAGGGCTTCGCGGTACGGCATGCGACCTTGCGGCGCATACATGGCAACGATGGTGGTCAGAAGACGGCCCAGAATGCCGCTCGAGCGTGGTCCGAGCGCAATGAACAGCTCGCCGACGGCAGGGAAAACATACGTCCAAGCGCCGTTCAAGTTGTGTTGCAAGGTCTTCTCCACCTCAGCAACAATCTGGTGAATAGGGTTGTCGCCATCCTCGGGATCTGCCACTGCCGATTCAATCATGTTGTCTGCAAGTGGGATGCACTTGCTCAACACCTCCTGTGGTATTCAGAAACATCGTCAGGGAATGTGAGTTTTGAGATCATTCGTTGAAAGCACAGACAAGACTGGACCGTTGTGCTTGAGCCCACCCCCTACCTCCAAACTGGCGGCAACAGCGATAATCAAGTCACGGCGCTCGCTGCGAAGGCTGCCGACAAGCATGCAGACATATTGGGGAAGCAGGGCCATGCAAACCTCGGCATCCAAACGACCGAGGGCGATAATGCCCTGCGCGACGAGCTTGATCCAAGCAATAAACGGCTGAATGTCCGTGACATCAGGACGGTACTCGTACAGCGACTGAGGAAATGAATGTGTTTGAGAGTGCGAGTGAAAATTCGGAGCGAGTGAGTCATCGGTGAAGCAGACTTCAAACGAACGACAAGAAAAAAAAAAACAGGAAAAAAACCTACCTGGACAAGCTGGGCAGTAACGGTCGCCGAAAGCTGTTCAAGACGACCCTCGCCACTGGCAATGAGGGTGTCTTGGATGATTTCGCAGGCCAGAGTGGTCACAAACTCTTGACGCAGCTGCAGAAGCCGAAGCAGAACAACAATGATGCTCGAAGTCTGCTCGGGAGTAAAGAGGCGCATGATACGCTTGACCAAAGCAAGCAGGTGCAGCACTGCAATTGTGTCGTTCTTGCGCGTCGAGCCGAGCACGCTCTCCAAGAATGCGGTGGTGCGCGGCAGAGCGGGATGAGACTCGGCTTCGAGAGGAGCCTGCTCAAGCACGCTCGCAACGGCATCTTGTGCAACCTTACGCGGCTGTGTGAAAGAAAAGGCATTCACACAAGGGGGGGGGGCGCGTGATGAGCTCACTTGCGTTGTCCATTTCAACCACCACGATTTAACCAAAACAAGGCAAAAAGAACAATTGGACTGTGTCGCTTACCTTGGCGCGAGGATCTGTGCTCAGCGTCAACAGCTGGTTGAAGAGGACATCTGCTTCCTTGGTGCTCCAGGCAAGAGCCTCCTGGGCTTGCAGGAAGAGCTGCACGCAGGTGCTGAGGTGACGAGTGGCGGCAGTGTTGACCGAGTGCACCTCGAGCGCTTGTGCGAGAAGCGCTGCAAGGCTAACAAACTTCTTTTGGAGCAAGCGCGCGTCCACCTGGGGGAAGGTGAGCGAGAGCAAGTGCGCGACGGCGGCAACAGACGAGTGCGCCTCGGTGCACTCGAGCTGCTCCTGGTCGTCCAGCTCGGCAGCACCACGAGCCTGTGCAGCTGCCATCAGAGTGGCGACGGTGTTGGTGTCGCGCTCGATCAGGTTGAGGAAGCTCGCGCAGTAGGCGGCAGCGTTGCGCGAGGCCTCAGTGAGCGAGTCGTCGGCCACGACAATCTCGTGCACGGCCTCGAGGGCGGCGCACACACGTCGATCGTGGTCGTTGGCACTGGACATGTTGCGGCGAACGCCAGAGAAGATTTCCATCATGCTGATCGGGATGCTGGGGTCGTATCCAGCAGTGTACGCTTCAAGACCATGTGGCACAGCGCCATCGCCCTGCACTGTCACTCCGCCCATATCGACCTCATCGTCGTCCATGTTTTTGTTGCTGGAAGCGCGGCCATTGCGCACGGAAGCAGCGCGGCGTGAGGCGGCAGCACCAAAGACCGATCCAGCAGTGGACCGAGCCACATGGCGACCACCGGCGGCGGCTCCAGCGCCAGCGGCACCAGCACCAAACGCGTCTGCCGGCAGCTGCCCGTACGCAACCCCGGCGGATGCTGCTGCTGCTGCCGAGCCAGGCTGGACGGCGGCCAGGGACTGCTGGAAGGGCAGCGTGCCTGGGGCGCCGTACTTTGGCGGACGCCGCGTGGCCCCGCCAGCGACCGAACCGCCGGCGACCGACTTGGCGCCGGGGCCGCCGCGACCAGAGCGCACGGAGGGTGCTGCTGCGGCTGCGGGGACGACGGCGGTCATCATGGCCATGGGCGCTGCTGCGGCGTGCTCCTGGTTTTCGACCTGAGCGTTGTAAGCGGCGAGGCGATCTGCAGTGAGCTGGCGGGACTTTGACGGGACGCCCGTGCGCGCGGCGTGGACGGCCGATTGCAGCGCGGCAATCTCGGGCGTGCGCACGGCAGCCGACATGCTGATCTGCATTGGCGGCGCGGCGAGGCCCATGCGCGCCTGCTGAGCCGCTTGGCGGTGCGTTGACGTTGCCGGGTTGCTCGTGCTCGACTGCCCCTTTGCCCATCGGTCGTGCTGTCGACTCGGTGCGTCTGACTGCTTTGCGCCGTGGTTGTACTTGCTCGAGACGACGCGGCGCTGGGTCATCTTTGCTGAAAAGGGGGAAGAAGGGGGGAAAGAGAAAAGGAAAGGGAAAGGGTGGAAGGAATAGAAAGGTGGACTGGCTGAGAAAGCTTGAAGCAGAAGCAGCTCAGATCGAGAATTACTGCACTGCGAGGGGGCTTCGAGACTGGAGTGATTGTCGTGGCGGGTTGCAGGATAGACAGGCGTTTCAACCGAAAAAAAAAAAAAAAAAAAAAAAAAAAAAAAAAAAACACGCTCGGTCGTCTCACTCTTCGAGGCTTCGGTGGTGCCTACAATACACGAGTATCTGATATTGAATGAAATGGACGGATTGAGCGACCAGTCATTTTGCCTCTTTCTTTGTGAGTTGATTTCGTTTGCATTGAGCGAGTTGGCGAATTCGTGTATTTTTGTGATTGTGGGGGCTTTTCCTTCTGCGCTTCTTGGAGAGGTGTACATGTATCCCAATGGAAGAGATGTACAAAGTATCAGTCGTCCCAACAGCGCGGAGGAAGAAGAAGAAGGAGGAGGGTCGGGTCTGGAATTACAAAGGGAGAGCAAGGGCTGTCGATGGTGCAGTTCACCCGATGAATGGATTGCGTCTCGAGATTGAGCATTGCTGCTTGACGCTGGAATGGCAGTCTGCGCAATGGCAGCCAGCGCACAGAGAGCGAGAGACAGAGAACGAGTCGGCGAAAACTGCGAGCGAGCGAACGAGTGACTGCGCTCTCTCTCTCTCTCTCTTCGTTGCATGGACAACTCTCTCTCTCTCTCTCCCTCCTATGAACATCGTTGTCTGAGTGTTCTGAAGTGACACTCGCGGGGTCGCAAGTTCCGAGCTTACGTGCTGCTGACTCGACAAAACCGTCCACAATGGAACAGTTCGCGCTTTGTTAGTTGTTGTTGTTGTTTCTGACAATCGTGCTTCTCTCTCTTCTCTTCAATTCTGTTAAGTTCGGCTGTCTTTCGGTCGGTCTTGGCTTGGTTTGGCTGTAACGTAGAGTAGGGTTGTGCTTTTACATGGACATGGAGGAGCCGAGGGGGGTGGGGTTGAGGGACCGCGAACGGTTGGTTCGGTTGCCTTCCTTATTTCCTTCCTTCCCTCCCCTCCGTCTGCGATTTGTCCCAATGCTGCCCTTTTTTTTCCTGCCTTGTGCTTGTTGTTGTTGTTGTTGTTGTGGTTTGTGGATTGACGTCTCGTTCTCGTTCGGTGTGCGTCGTCGTTTGTTCAATTGCATGATGCCGCGCTTTTTCGGATCATCGAATTTTCCCCCATTTTTTTCTTTTTCTTTGTTGTTTTTGGCGTTCATCTCGGTTAACAAAACGAGGTCACTTGTTCCATCCCCATCCCATTCCCTCCGTCTTTGTCTTCTTCGTCTTCTTCGTCTTCTTCGTCTTCTTTGTCTTATCCTTCAATTCACCAATTCTTCTTCTTCTTCTTCTTCTTCTTCTTTGACTTGTGCTGTTCAATCATCACAAATTTCAGAGGCGTTCATTTTTTTTTTTTTTTTTCCTTCCTTTCGTTGTTGTTTTCTCGTTCACTTTGCTTGCTCGGCTTTTCCCCCCATTTGTGTACTTTGGCTGCTTACCAAGTTCAACCTTTTCCTTTCTTTAGTTTTTTTTTTTTTGTTCAATCTTGTTGCATTGAACTCTTTTGCTTGTCATGACTCAGAAGAAGTTGCTAGAACAACACAAACAAAAAAAATACTGCCAGCTCAACGCGCTGTCATCGCTCGCTCTTTCTATTTGCCTCTCTCTCTCTATCTCTCTCTCCCCAGGCTTTTCAACACATGACTCAAAATTGCCTCGTCTCGATGATTCTTTTTTTTCTTTTTTTCCAAAGCACTGACATCATGAACTCATGACTAACTGATTGTGATCTCATCTCGTTCTTTGATGTCCTTTCCTGATCTACAGAGAGCGCAGACTCGTTCGTTCCTTTTCCACCATCATCTCCTCCAACTCTTCTCGTGTTCTTTGATGTCTCTTTTGTTTTGTTAATATCTTTTGTCCTTTTTATTCAATCCTGTCATAAAAACTCTCTCCTTTTTTTTTTTTTGTTTCAGTCCTTTTCTTTTGTTCTTCACTCTTTGTCGTGTCTTAGTTTTGCGTGTCTTAGTTGTCTCGATTTTCGGATCATCCCATCCCGTCTTTGCGCCTGTTTCGCATTTCAGACAACTCGCAAAACTCTCTCTAAAGCAAAAGGAACTCAAGTCACAAGCATCATTCCATGGCCATGGCGACGACGCGTTCGCTGCCTGCAAGCGCAAATCGCTCTGACGCAGAAGAGGAGGAAGGTATGTCCGCCAAGATTTGCACACAAAGCGAGCTCCCTTTCCCTTCTTTCTTTCCCCCCCCCCCGCACTTCCGACTTAACACTCAAAACTCACGGAATGCCTTTTTCATGAATTGTTCCAATCATCCAAACATTTCTGGGGGGGACCCTGGCTGTTCCGTGTGGTGTGAATGATGGCAGATTCGGATTCGTCCATTCTGTTCGAGTACTCGAGCGACCGCGAACCGCATCATCAGTCTCACCACCACCACCACCACCACCACCACCACTCGCAGCAGTCTCATCACTCTCATCGCACGTCCAGCATCATCGTGCCAGCACACCGCACGACGACGGGCCCCCTCATCGTCTGCAGCGTCTCACGCTACCAATCATCAAGAGCGTCCTGACCCCGGCCTATGCCGACCCGCTCTGCCGCCGGATGACCTGGGCTACCACAAGACCGCCGGATCAAAGTCCAACTCGAGCTGGCTGAGCGATGGCGACCAAGACGATGAAGACGACGACGATGACGACGATGACGACGATGAATCCGACGATGATGAAGCCAGCGTAGACTCAGAGTCCGACTCGTCCACCAATGCGCTGCGAAAACGAAACCGCAGGCAGGCATCGACGCCCATGGCCATCCCAGGATCGGTGGCGGCGTCCGGTGCGACCCCTCGCTCGGGCTTGACTCCCGAGGGCCTCGAGATGCACCGAGTGGCTGCCGCTTCCATGGCCGCGAGCTTTGGTTCCGACTCGCTCTCTTCTCCTGAGACGATCGTGTCTGGCACTTCTCCGCCGCGTCCAGTGCTGAGCTCCTCCTATGATGAAGAAATTCCACCCTTCAATGCTCACCACCGTAGCACGGGTGTCGTCAAAAATGGCACTGCTACTGCATTCGCGCCACCGCTGGCTTCCAGCCCACCCGTCGTCGTGCCCCCTAACCCTTCCGCCACAGCACCTTCCTCCATGGACCCGGTATCATATGAGCTGCGCCAGCAGAGCAACCTTCTGTTGGCCTCGCTGTTGGAAAACTTTTGCGAAATGCTGCAAAAGGACCCGGCGCGCAACCGTCAGCTGTTTTTCGTGATTTGCAAGCAGCTGGCGCGTATTGGACTTGTGGATAATCTATCCTTCATGGACGAAATGAGTGCCGTCCGTTCCACCTACAAGAAGGCCTTCCGAACGCTCATCTCGCAAGCCATCCAGGCGGTGGACACGGAAGAGGAGTTGCGTCGCACACGTTCGCTCGAATACCTGGCTGGTGGGGACGCGAGCGATCTCGCATCGAACGCTGGTGGCGACCACTCTGTTGGAAACCCTTCTGGCCCTCAAGGCGCTCTTGTCGTCCGGAACGCAAGCTCGCCCGGCCTGTTTTACTCGCCTGCCTTGGACGAAACCGCAAAGGGCCCCACTGGCGTCTTCAGCTCAAATCTAAGCGATACCGGGGCTGTCGAGTCGAGCATGTTTGCCAACTCGCGCTACCGTGATGACTTTGTCGAGTACAACCAGCTCGGACGAGGCGGGTTTGGCAAAGTTCACAAGGTCTTGAACAAATTCGACGGTCGATACTATGCCGTGAAAAAGATTCACCTCAAATCCACGCAGATCGATGTGTTTCGCAAAGTGTTTCGCGAAGTCAAGTCGTTGGCTCGGCTCGACCACCCCAATGTTGTCGGCTACAATTCTGCCTGGATTGAGTACTCGCAGGCTCCCAGCACCCTGCGTCAGCGTCTCGCCCGCTCGCAAAAAGGCCAACCGCCGCCGTTGACTGTCCGGAAGCTGCTTGCGGACACACCAGACAACCGTGCGCCCACAACCACCAACGTCGGTCGCAGCACTGCGCCCTCGCGCCTGACTTCCGGACTGGCTGCTGCTGCTGCTGCTGCTGCTAATGCTGCTGCCCGTGACGGTAATTCGGGCCATCCGCGCCCAAGCACGAGTGCGTTGCTCGCTTCACAACCCCCTCACATTGCGGCAACCCTGCGCTCGGAGGGCTTGCTTACGGATCCCGCATTGCAATCTGACATTGTCTCGTTTTTCGTCGGCAACTCGTCAAGTCAGCCAACGTCGGCCGACTCGACTGCTTCTGATGACATTGTCTTTGCCTCATCGAATGCCCAGACGCCCGAGCGGAGAGCCTCGTTCGGGACAATGTCCTCCCCGCTCGCGCAAAGTGCCTTGAAGACACGGGCGGAAACCATCATGTACTCGCGCACCACCGTCACCGAGGTCCACAGCTCGAGCATTGATTCCGAGGTCACTGAAGACGACTACGACTCGTTCGACGGCAGCGAGTCCTACGATGGTGATATTGACGCGAACATGGGGCCCAGCACTGGCGACATTACCTCCGATGAAACACCCACCCAAGATCAAGACGACCAAGAGGACCTTGACGAGCTTCACTCGCATCTCGATCGGTTGACCAAAAACTCCTTCCCCCATCCCCACCCAAAGCACAATCCCGGCCATCCACCAATGCGGCACGCTGGTCCTCATTCAAACAAGCTTGGCTCAGCCGCCGTCGCCGCTCCCACCAAGGGACGCGATAGCGAAGAGTTACCCGCAAATCCGCTGCTACAAATGCGCCTGACCCTCTTCATCCAAATGCAACTGTGCGAGTACACGCTTCGTGACTGGCTTAAGGCTCGTAACGCTCGTTTTGCCAACATGGCCCAGTCCAATGTCTCGTCTCCCAACGTGGCAACCCAGCAGCCGCCAGCATTCCCGTTGTCTGCTACCTCCGTCAGCAACACCAGCCCCATCAATCCGTACTCTGTGATTGATCCAAAGCAAAACATGAACTTTTTCCGCCAAACCTTGCTGGGCGTTGCGTACATCCACTCGCAAGGCATTGTGCACCGCGATCTCAAGCCCAGCAACCTGTTTTTGTTGGATTCGGCATCTCAGGTCAAGATTGGCGACTTTGGGCTTGCGGCCGACATTGCTTTCGAGGATACAGCAACGTCCACGGACGAGCAGAGCACAGATGGCACCAGCCCCTCGTCGTCATTAGCAGTGACGCCGCAGCCGAATGCAACTGTGCCGTCGCCCTTGTCACCTCCCGCGGCTGTGGCTGTGGCTGTGGATGGCGCTCCTTCTAGTGGTGCTGCGGGATCCGCTGCTCCGTTGAGCGCTGCGTCTGCTTTGGTAGCGGCGCGCAATCGCCGCGCTGGGGGACAGAACGGGCTAAACCGCGCCTCCATCACCTCCCTGGACGCGACTGCGCATTCCCTTCTCGAAAGCGAGACCTCTGGCCTCACTTCGGGTGTCGGCACTGTGACGTACGCTGCTCCCGAGCAACTGAACGGAAACAACTACGACTACCAAGCCGATATTTACAGCTTGGGCATCATCTTCTTTGAGCTTTTCTGTCCGTTCGCAACAGACATGGAGCGAGCGATTGCGCTGCGTGACTTGCGCAAGGGCATTTTGCCCAAACGCATGTTGACAGACTACCCCAAGGAAGCTGCGTTTGTGCTGTGGCTGACCGCGGAGAACCCCGCAAACCGACCCGATGCCGCCCAGATTCTCGAGTTTGGTCTCCTCGTTGCCGACGACGCGTCGAGCGACCATCATGCTTCCGTGCCGCCAGCTACCGATGTAGCCTCTGCCGCCGGAGCTGGTCCGCTATCTACGGCCGCCAACCGCCTCATTCCCGTGGAAGAATTCGTGCGGGCTGTGTCAGAGCGAGATGACGAGATTGCTGCGCTTCGCAAGCAGCTCGCTGAGCAGAATGAGCTGATTCAACGACTCATGTCTGGGAAGCAACCTCAGTGAACGACGCATTTTGTTTTCTTGCTGGGTAGAAAAACTAGACGACGTTGATAAAACATTTCAAACATGCACAAAACAAACCAGATTTTTTAGCTTTGAATAAAACATTACTACATGACAAACAACAACAACAATGATCACACAACAACAACAAAAACAAACACAACAATGCAGACGTCTGTTAATTCAGGGAGCGCAGGTTGCTGCGCGCAAGCTCATTCTTGGGATTGAGTTGGAGCGCCTTCAGGAAGTCTGCGCGTCGTTGGTGCACCGGCACGCCCGCCGCGGCACCGTACGCTCCTCTGTTGACATACGCATCATCATCATTGGGATTCAGGCGCACTGCGTCGCACGCGATCGTGTACGCCAAAGCCTTGTTCCCTGCCTTGGCATGGTAGAATGACAGCGTAACCAGATGCCCAGAGGTGGCGGGATGGAACTGGAAGGCGCCTGCAAACCAGGCGATGGCCTCCGGGTAGCGCTGAGCGTCGGCCATGATCGTTCCCTGCTTCCTGTACGCCCAGTTGCGCGTCATGCCGATAAACTTGAGCTGCTCGGCCGTCGGTTTGCACAGCAGTGCGCGATCAAGGTCCTGGAGCGCCATGGTGACTTCATGCCGCTTAATGTGCCAACGGGCGCGCAAGCGGAGGGCCCATTCTGGAGTGGGAGACAGACTGATGGCACGATCGAGCAGGTCCTTTCGCAAGTCGCCGCTATTCGCCACACTTTCCAGCTTGTAGCAGACATTGCAAATGTCGGTGTATGTTTGGCTGTTGAGACTGGAACTTGTCGGACTGGTGGCCGAGCTTGCAGCAGGAGGGGCAAGATCCGTGGTCAACTGCTTGGTGGTGAGTGCTTTGATGGCCTCGTTTTGCGCTTCATTCGCCTCTGCTCCACGACCCAGAGCCCTGAGCGCCAGCACACGCATGATCAACTCTGCCCTGTTGGTGGGATCAATCTCCAGCGCGCGCTTGGTCGCGGCCTCGCACTTTTGCCAGGCGCTCTTGGCGTTGCTCTGCTTGTTGGGCATCGAAGCGTACGCAGTAGCAAGCGCAGAATAGGCGCGCGAGTAGTCGCTGTCCACCTTGATGGCGTTCGAGCTCACGCTCACAGCCTCATCGTACGAGGAATCGTCAATCAGGCCAAACGCTTTGTCAATCATGATGATTGGGTCTTTGATGGCGTCGCCCTTCTCGAGCGACTTTTGGATTTGATTGATCGTGTTGGTAAACTTGGTCTCGTTTTCCTGGATGAATTCTTTGACGGCTCCCTCCGACTTGGCGACGGCATCTTGCGTATGGTCGTCCGAGTGGGCCTCAACCGCAATCACGGCGAGGTTGAGCAGAGAGAAAAACGTCACCCACTGAGCGCGCGCACCATCCATGGCGTGCGAGTCATAGTTGGTGTTCTTCTTCCAAACGGCCATGCGTTGGCAAAAGCGATCGACAATCGAATCTTGCCAGATCGCCAACGGACCGTGCACACGCAGACGCATTTGCGAACTGATCTGCTCGCGTGCCAGTCGTAGCGCGGCCAGGCCGGCGACAACGTCCGCTGCAGCAGCACCCGGAGCTTGAAGCGGCGGGGGCAGTTGGGAAATATGCTTGGAGAGATCGGACGTGTTGAGAACAAAGCGAACCGAACCTTGCTTGCCTTGGCGGGCAGTGCGGCCAAACGCCTGAGCTTGGACGCGCTCGTTGAGAGGGAAGAAGGTGAGAATGACGTGCGTGCCTCCGTTCGCCTCGGCACGCTTCCACGTGCGAATGTCGGTGCCGCGACCCGCCATGTTGGTGGCCAGCGTGATGACGCCCTCCTTGCCAGCGCGAGACACGACAGCTTCCTCCTCCTCGGCTTGCACACCGTTCAAGAGTTGGAACTGGATGGGAAGGGCGCCTTCAGAGTCTTGTGCAGCCAAAAGTCCCGACGTCAACGAGTTGCAGCTCTTGTGGAACTCGTTGCAATCGGCAATGCTCCGGAAGAGAATGAGAACGGGCCGTCCCACCTTGGCCTGTTGCAGCATCTCTGCTTGAATCGAGTCAAACCACTCGACACGGCCGCCTGTGATGACTGGTGACCGCACATCGAGTTTGCCCATGGTGTGGACAGGGACGTCGAACGTGTCGAGATCATAGAAGGCCAGCAGCTCTTTGCGCTCAGTCTCGTCACCCAAAGTGCCGCTCAACCCGAGAATGCGCGTGTACTTGTTGAACAGCGTGATGTGCGACAGGTGACAGCCCATGAGCCGATCCAACGACGGCCTCAGGCCCTCTCTGAGCTCGAGCAGCTGATGCAAACTGGCCATGTGGAACATGTTTTCGTGAATCTCGCCAGTGTGCTCGAAATCCACAATCTTGATCCCCTCTGGCACAACAATGTAGTCTCTGGCTCGCTGCAAGTGGCGGGCGCGCACAGCCGACCGAGCCCAATACGGCAGCTGGCTCTGAACAAACTCCTTGATGAAATCACTGCACTGCTTGAAGGGCTTGGACTGCAGCACGGTCGCCGTCATGTCCGCAGCAGACGGTGGCGGCGAGGCCTGGCTGAGCTGGAGGAGAATGGGGTAGATCCACTGCACGCGGTAAAAGAGCTCGGATTGATAAATGATGCGAGTCGAAAAGCTCGCGCGATCGATGAGCATCGAGTCGACCTCGTCCACAATCGCAATGCCGTAAGGGCGCGGGGTGCGGACTGTTTCAAAGTCGTACGAGTCCATCAGCTGCGCGTGTTCAAAATGGAAGGCATCGCCGTACACAATCTCGGCGGCATAGTTTTGCTGGTGGGTGGGGTTTTTGTCGGTATTGTGCGTCACTTTGAGGTCAAACAGGTGGAAGAATCCTGCCATCTCCTTTGCGTCGCGGCGAGCGAGCGAGACTGACGACGTGACAATGTCGACGGGATGCCCGCGCATGGCCATTGTCGCAGCAAGCATGGAAACCACCACGCTCTTGCCTTGGCCCGTTTTGACTTGTCCAAGGCGTCCCTTGCGCGGCGTGGCGAGCAAGCTCAGCACAACCAGCATCTGCGTATTGTACGGCCGGTAGCCCTTGTGGATGCGAATGGCTTCGCGAATCAGCACCAACGAAGTGAGGTCAAAGCGCGTGGCCAGATCGGGTGCCAGTCCGGCGCCTCCCCGGCCCGTCCCATCGGCGTGCGCAATAGCAGCTCGATGCGCGCGGATGGCTGCTCGCAGGCGCGCCTCATCCCACTCGTGCACTGCATCTCTCATGTACTGCGCCTTGATGAGACGGAACTGGTCGACAATCACCTTGAACTCGGCGGCTGGCAAGGTGACCATCTGCTGCTCGAATTCCTCGATAACCTGCTCCAGCGATTTCTCGGGGAAGCGCAGCTCGTACAGATGGATTCGGAGCTTTGCGACACGCTGCGCAAACTCCAAGAGGGACTCTGGGGCCGCCATCGACTCTTCTGCGCCTTTGGTAATGGCCTCCGTGGTGAGAGACACGCCGCCGCGGGTGACGTCCTCCAAGGGGAGGAAATCAGCCAGCCAGTGGCGCAAGGAGCTGTCGTAGCCAGCCCGTGGTTGCTGGTGGGCCGTTGTTGCAGCTTCGGCTGGAGCGGCCGCGGACTGCCCGTTGGCAAGCAGCGTGGCCGCACGTCGAGACTGCCTGGCAGCAGCAGCAACAGCCGACAACACGACACTCACGTGCTGCTGCCCTTGCAACTTGTCAACGAGTTGATCAACCAAGGCCATGCACATGCGCGCAGTAGAGTCGCCACTCCAGAACATGCTCGCCGCCCCGACAAACGCAATCCAAAGCTCAGCAGACCAGGGAGCAGGCTTGGCCTGCAGGGCAAAGCGGATGAGCTCGTTGTCCGCGAGGGCTGGGGACTCTGACACGGCCGTCGTCATGGGAATGTCAAGGCCGCAAAGCTTTGCAAGCTTGCCCAAAACAGCCTGATCGCTTGACGGATAGAGCGCGGGGAGATGGCGCAAGTACGCACCGGCTTGGCGGTGTGCGACAATCTCACGGCCAAGGAAGCGGTTGTTCGACGACGAATCTCCAGCAACCAGCCAGCCCAGGCGAAGGAGGATGCCATCCGGGGCAGCGGTGGTCGCAGCATGCTGGACAGCCAGCTGAACCAACTCCGCAGCGCAGGACTGTTGCGCCTTCCATTGGCGCAAAAACTCGGTGAAAATCGCCTGCATTCCCGCCAGTTCGGCCGCGTTGGACTGTTGTCGAGCCGTTGAAAGCGTGTCAAAGAAGACGGAAACGCTCTTGGTCGGCAGAGTGCCTTCCAAAAGTGTCTTGGCATGGCGTTTCAAAACGGGAACGATGGCGGCAGTGCGTGCAAGACGCTGGTCTGGCAGCAGAGTGCGCATGGAATTGGCCAACATGACGGCAAAGACTGCATCCAGCGCCCTGCCGCCGTCAGTGCTCGTCGCTGCGACGGTTCGTTGGGAAATGATGTAGTCGCACACCGTCGCCAGAGCTTCAAGGGTGGACGCACTGGTCGGGTTGACGAGGGCAAACCAGTCGGCGGCGTGCTCGACCGTTTGCGAGCAAACGTCCTGACTGAAGATGGACACGTCAATCGTTTTCGAATGCAGATGACGGTACTTTAGTTCAACGTTGACGAGCGGTGCGACGGCAGCATCGGTCGGAGGCGGGACTGCGGCTGCCGCGCGGATGAGGGCGTCAAGCTCGGCTGGCGCAAGCAAGGCATCTTCTTTGCGCGTACGAAGGTTTTGAAGCACCTGCTTTGCTTCGGGCCAGTCGGGGCTTGGGCCAGCAGCATCGATTTGGCGCGCGTACGCCGCGAGTACAGATCCCTCCCACACGGCGATGGGGTGGTGCAGTTGCATGGCAAGCGCAACAGCCAACTTGTGCACGAGCTGCCAGTCGGGAAACACCGTTTTGGACTTGAAGATTTCGAGCAAGAATGGTCGTTGCTCTTTGCGTTGCTCGGCGCTCGAGGCCAGCTGCTCCAAGGTGATGAGATCTGCGGAAGAGGGCGTTCCTTTGATCATGGCAGCGAGTTGCGTGGGATGCGTAGCGCCCAAGCGTGCGATTGTCTCGATGCCGCGCAGGAGGACTGGAAGGCGTCGACGACCGCGCGCGCTCCAGCATGCGTGCCACACTCGGCTGGCGTCGGAAGACCCGAGCACGTAGAGACTAATGTAATCCAACAGCACGCATTCCAACGAACCAGTGTGGAGGAGAGAATCGCCGCCATCGTTGGCAAACTCGCCCAACGCCAACCCTCCGGCTGCAGCGGCAGCAGTGGCTGCAGCGGGCGATGGCTGGCCTTTGATCTTTTTAATCGCCAGTAGGATTCGCTTTCGCTGGGCAAGCAAAAGCTCAATCGACTTGATCGGATCAGTGCTGTAGTGCACGTCGTTGGCAGCCATCTGAACGAGCGCCGCCAACTCCTGGAAGCTCTGGTGCAGATTCAGCGCTTGCCTGTGCAGCAGCAGTCCAATGCGGCCCCATGCGTGCTCCCACTCTCGTACTTCCTCCCACATCAGCTCGCCCGAGGACACAGCCTTGGCAACGGCGCTGGCAAGACTCGCGATGGCCGTCGCGCTCGAGGACGGGCATGGGCTCGCGTCATGCGACAGCGCCCAGAGAAGCATGATGGATGTCGTGGTCAACACACGATAACGCACTGGCTCTTGCAGGGTTTTGCCTTTCAAGTTGGGCGAAATGGTCCACACGCTCAGAGCGAAACTGCAGAATGCATCAAATTCTGCCGTTGGCAAGGAGTGGTGCAATGCCTGCGAGTGGGCAATGGCCGAGTAGCCAGACAGCGCCCGGCAAATGCCAATAGCAGCGTCCACCTCCTCTGCGTGGACGGCAGTGGAAGCGACAGCTGAGGACAGCACAGAGCCGATCGAAGCCTCCGGAGCAGCAGCAGCAGCAGCAGCAGCGACCCCCGGTTGGAGGCCGTCGCAAGCAGAGATCGCGGCAGTGGCTTCCGTACGCAGCTGAAGCAGGTACACCAGCAGGGCAGCGTGGGTCAGCGGGGACGACGGGGCAAAGGAGAGCAGCAAATTGCTCGGACGCGACCCACCGCCACCGCTTGCAATGGGCGTGACGGTCGCGCGGACCTCGGCAGCGGCAGCGAGTGGCACTGGCTCGCGCGTTGTGTGCGCTGCATCGCCTTCCTCCTGCTGCTGTGGATGGGCTGCTGGGTCGCGATGGACGTGATCTTGGAACGAGGGATTGCTCGTCGCGTCGTCGCTGTTGTTGGCGTCGTCGTCTGACCCGCCCGCACCGCCGCCGCCGCCAAAGTGCTCTTCCTGCGACATTGCGGTGATGATGAGAATTCCTGTTGTTTGTTGTTGTTTGTTTGTTGTTGTTTGTTTCTGTGTTTTTTGACAGCAAAAAACAGAACAGAAATCAATGATGAGAAAAAAATGCATTCAATAAAAAATAAAAAAAATCCCAAAAACCTAATTGCGCGTGGGCACAAAAAAGACAAAAATGGAGGGATTGTCAAACAAACAACGCAAAACACAACGATTTTGTATTACTGTACATTGAACAACTGAAGACGAATGGAAGATGACTGAGTTGAGCTCGATTTGGATGGATAAAGTCAAATGCGTGTTGGAGATCAGGTTTGTGAAGAGAGCTTGCATCGACGGCGATCAGCTGAATTGGACGAGTTGTGCTCGCGTGGATCAGTCCCATGCGTCGTCGTCCTCCCCTGTCCTCTTCCCGCTGGCGGTAGCAAGGCCACTTTAGCTGTATTCATGGGGGAGGGGGGTCCTCTCTCTCTCTCTTCTCTCTGTAGGTATTCGACTGCTCGAGCGAACGCACAATCGCACAAATCGCCTGTGTTGTGTTGCAGGAGAAAACTGAATCCAGACCCGCCAAACCCGTCGTGAGCAGTTGCTGCCAACCTCAATCCATGTGGTTGATTTACAATGGTCACTGGCGCAATATTGGTGCTACCACTACTGACGGTGGGTGAGCTTTCGTTGGGCATTTGGTTTTTTGGCTTCGTTTGACTGCAAAAGCTTGTGACTTGCACCCCCAACGTAACAATGGAAAAAAACACCACTCCAAAGCATCCCGCAGACAAATCAAGCAATGACAAAGCGAGGCTACAAGTTGGAAAAATGTAATCAAACAAAAAGAGAGAGAGAAGAACAAAACAAGATACAGAAACAGGCCAATAATCAATCATGGCATGACATCCGGAGCATGAAGAATGTCAATTAAGTTGGGGGGGGGGGGAAAGGGGGAGGGACAAGAGGGAGGACAAAAAGAAAGAATCACGAAAGGAAACAATAAAACCATTGTTGGTGGTCAATTTAACCGACAATGATCTTATTTTCCTCCAAGAAGCTGTACGGCGGTACTTCCAAGTTGAGGGGAGCAGGGCCACGACGAATGCGACCAGAAACGTCGTAGTGTGAGCCGTGGCAAGGGCAGAAATAGCCACCAAAGTCGCCAGCGCTTGCAATTGGCACGCAGCCAAGGTGAGTGCAAACACCAAGCAGAACGAGCCACTTGGGCTGTTGAACGCGCTCGGCGTCCATCTGCGGGTCACGGAGCTCGGACAAGCTGACGCTGTTGGCCTCTGTTGAGTCGAACGGAAGCCGAGCACAAAAGTGAGCAGACAAAAACTCAAATTCTCAAGCACAAAACCCATCCAACTCAGCAGAAAGAAAAAAATAAAAGAGCCCTGGCTGGAAAATCCAACATACCTGCAATCTCGGCCTCAGTGCGGTGGCGCACAAACAGGGGCTTGCCGCGCCATGTCACGACAACGTTCTTGCCCTCGGGAATGGCGGAAAGATCGACCTCGACCTTGGCAAGAGCGAGAACATCGGCGGACGCGCTCATGCTCATGACAAAGTCGACAACAATGTTCTTGACGATGGAGGCGGTGAAGACACCAGTGGCGCCGACAACAAAGTACGAGAAGAGGCGCGAGGTCGGGTCGCCCTTGGCTTCGGTGGGGGCAATCTCGCGACGGTAGTGGCTAAAGTCGGGGACCTGGATGTCGGTGTGCGCATAACGAACGCCGCGGGGCAGCATTGAGGTCGAGAAGACCTGGTTGGCCGAGGCGACGCGGGGGAGCGATCGGGCAGTCAGGAAGGTGGGCTCCTCGCGGTAGGCAACGCCGGGAACAGCGCCGTGGCCGTCGTGGTGGCCGTCGTGGTGGCCTGATGGGTCTGGGAGAATGCGGCTAGTAATAAGGGGCGTGCGAGCAACCTTGCCCACCGAAGTGGCGGAGCCTTGCAAGACACGTGCGAGGGAGGGAGCGGTCGAGCGGAAGGCGAGCATTGTTGTGAATTGTGATTTTTTTCCCGAAAACCTGAATGTACAAGAGAAAACAAACGGAGAGGAGAAGGGTGAGTTGACCTCGAAGGGGCTCATGACGAAGGGGAGATTGGGAGAAGAAGGGGTTTGCGATTTGAGTGGAAGAGCATTGAAATGGTCTTTGGGAAAGACACGGGTCGATCGTTTCAAAGAGAGCGGCAAAAACGAACGATGGTGATGCTGCTGGTGCTGCCACCGGGCAAGCGAATGACTGGCCCTCTTTCTTGGGAAGAGTGGAGAAGGGTGAAGACGAGGAGGAGAGCAGCGTGGTTGTATTGTGGGTGAAAACGAAGAGCCAGCTGCTTTGCCACGCGTCCTGCGCTGCTCTCCTGCATTCTCGATGGTCCTAAACAACACCCTCACGTTGGTGTGTGCAGCGAGCGGGCGTCGACCAAACCCCCCCCCCACGACGCGAGTGAGGCTCGAAGAGAGCGCAATGATGCTCCAGCAAAGCGAGAGATCGCTTTTTTTTTTTTTGCTTTTTTTTTTTTTTTCGTTTAGCTTTTTTTTGCCTCAGCAAGATCGACTGCCCTTTCCTGACACGCACAGACTGGAGCGTCAGTTGAAACTCGTGTATGGCGATTCGCAGAGATGCGACCGAGCAGTGAGGAAGAGCAGGAGATTCAAGAAGGACCAAAAAGGGGACAAAGGGGGGGAAAAGGACCGGATTTTTTTTTCCTTTTTTTTTTTTTTTTGATTTTTTGGTTGATTTTTTTCACTTACCGACAACAAGGGACAAAAGAGTGAATTTCTGGTTTCGGTTTAGTGGAACAATCTCTGATCATAACAAACAGCAACACAAGCAATAAAAAGATGAACAATAACGTCAAAAGTACAGAATTGAATATGGAAGGGTCGATTTTGCAGAGTTGAGGCTTGGATCCACCGCTGAAACCTCAAACAGAAACCAAAAAACAAGCACGCTCATCGCCAGGACCACCATTGCCCGATTCACGGTAGCAAATCTCACCAAGCGTGCATCGTTCACTGTTGGACATTTGTATGACTCGTGCTCGAACGCTGCTCAACCCATCGACTCTGCCAATCTGAAAGTCTCGCACTTGAGCAAATTTTCCAGCTATTTCGCTCGGTCCGAAGCGTCTATTCCTGCCATCTCCAAGCACTTATTTCCAAGACAAATACCAATTGTATTTCGAGTTGCAGCAACATTGCACATCACACCATCATGCAATCCCCAAATGTAAATCTCAATGTAAAAATCCAGTCTTTTCGCTTTTTTTTTTTTTTTCGAGATCTGTCTTAACCTTTGCTTCTCTCTCTCTGCTTTTTGCACTTGTTCCTGACGCAAATAGTCCTCTCGTCGTCGATCTCGCTTTGTGGAATTGGTCTTTGCAATCCCATCCACGTTCATCGATCTGATCTTGCAAACGACCCCCCCCCCATCAGCAGAGGCAAAGCGGAACATTGAAAAAAGAAGGAAAAAAAAAGGATGACCATCTCGCTTGGCTTGACGGCGATGCTCCAACGACGCTCGCACGCGTTGCTCGAGATCAGCAGGCAGCAGGCGCGGGCGCAGGCACGGCAGGAACTGGCAGGGTGGAGGCAGCTCGCGGGCCGCAGGGCACTGAGCACCAGCCCACTCGCAGCCAACTCCTCTGTGCTCTCTGCTGGAGCCGCCACCGGCCATCCCACTCCTGTTCAAGCAGCTGCGCTGGGAGGACTGTCGCTGGCATCGCGATTGCACACAACCATCGCGCTGATGCGGACCGCACGCTTGCCGCAGTACACGCTCGGCGCCGTGCTCAGCTCGCGGGTGCAGCAGTTTGCGTCTGCCGCTCCTCGCAACAACCGACCACCGCGCGGACAGGACCGAGCGGAAGAGACGGATGACAAGAGCAAGCGCAACAAGCAGTCCTCCTCCAACGATGCAGAGAACAAGGGCGAGCAAGGCAACAAGAAGGGCAAGGACAACAGCAACTTTGAGTTTGAGTTCCAGCCAAGCAAGTTTGCGCTGCCCGCCTTCGTGCTCGGCACCATGGGCCTCGTCTTCTTGGGCACCACCTCACAGCGATCGCGCGAAACCACCTGGCACGAGTTCCGCTCAACCATGCTCGACAAGGGTCAGGTGGAGCGCCTCACTGTCGTCAACCGATCCTACGTTCGCGTCAAGCTGCGCGACCCGCATGCACCCCACTACTGGTTTGCCATCGGAAGTGTTGACACCTTTGAGCGCCAAATGGAGCAGGCCCAGAAGGAGCTGAACATTGAACCCCGCGAGTTTGTGCCCATCTCGTATCTCACCGAGGCCGACTACTCGTCTGCACTGCTCAGCCTCGCTTCGCCCCTCATTTTCTTTGGCGTCATGATCTGGCTCATCCGGAAAAACCTGTCTTCTGCTGGCCCCTCCCTGCGTGGAGGTCCCGGAGGAATGTTCAACTTTGGCAAGGCCAAGCATCGCTTTTACAATAAGGAAACCAACATTGGCATCAAGTTCAAGGATGTGGCTGGCTGCGAGGAAGCCAAGGTCGAAATCATGGAATTTGTCAACTTTTTGAAGCATCCGAGCGTCTACCGCGAGCTGGGCGCCAAAATCCCCAAGGGCGCCGTCCTGTCCGGACCACCTGGCACGGGCAAAACCCTGCTGGCCAAGGCGACTGCCGGTGAGGCAGGCGTTCCGTTCCTGAGCATTTCGGGCTCTGAGTTTCTGGAAATGTTTGTCGGTGTGGGCTCGTCGCGCGTTCGCGATCTCTTTGAGCAGGCTCGCGAGAATGCCCCTTGCATCATTTTCATTGACGAAATCGACGCCATCGGTCGCGCTCGTGGTCGTGGTAACATGTCTGGCTCGCACGACGAGCGCGAAAACACGCTCAACCAACTGCTCGTTGAAATGGATGGCTTTGACTCGACCACAAACGTGATCGTGCTCGCGGGCACCAACCGCGTGGACGTCCTGGACCCTGCTCTTCTCCGCCCTGGCCGCTTTGACCGCAACATTGTCATTGACCGACCCGACATTAAGGGTCGCAACTCCATCTTCCGAGTCCACCTCAAGCCCATCAAGCTGCACCCGTCGATTGTCCTGCAAGAGCTCTCTCGCAAGCTGTCCGCGTTGACGCCTGGCTTCACTGGTGCCGATATCGCGAACGTTTGCAATGAAGCCGCCCTCATTGCTGCCCGCTATGCCGCCGAGTTTGTCGAGGAAAAGCACTTTGACCAGGCGATTGAGCGTGTCATTGCAGGTCTCGAAAAGAAGAACAAGGTGCTTTCGCCAGAGGAGAAGAAGGTTGTTGCCTATCACGAAGCCGGCCACGCCACCGTCGGCTGGTATTTGGAGCATGCCGATCCTCTATTGAAGGTGAGATGTGAGGGTGGTGTTGTTGTTGGAGGAGGGGGGGGGAGAGAGGTTTTTATTTTTATTTTTTTTTTTTGTTTCCTTGTTTTCTTTTTTGGTTTTCTTTGTCATCGATGCACTCACTTGCGCCCTTGTTTGATCTCAGGTTTCAATCATTCCTCGAGGCTCTGCTGCGCTTGGCTATGCTCAGTACCTCCCTCAAGAAAACTACTTGTACTCGATGGAACAGGTAAAACATTCATAAATAGCAAAACTGTTGTTTGTCATGATCTGCCTTATCAACATGTTGCCAACCGTTGGATCTTTTTCCCCCCCCCCTTCTCCAAACTATGATAGTTGCGTGATCGTATGTGCATGACCCTTGGTGGCCGTGTGGCGGAAGAAGTGTTTTTTGGCCGCATTACTACCGGCGCCCAAGACGATCTGAGCAAGGTGACCAAGCTGGCCTATGGTCAAGTCGCCAAGTTTGGTATGAACCCGCTGGTTGGCCCCTTGTCATACGACTTGCCCGGAGAGGACGATCCAATGCTCGAGAAGCCGTACAGCGAGGCAACAGCCCAGCTGATTGACGAACAGGTGCGCAAGCTCGTCCAGGACGCTCTTGAGCGGACTCGCGCGCTGCTGACCGAGCGGCGTGCTGAGGCGGAAAAGGTGGCTCAATTGTTGCTCGAGCGCGAGGTGATTTCGCGCCACGACATGACCGAGCTGCTTGGCAAGCGACCCTTCGTGGAAAAGCACGCGTACGAGGACTTTGTTGCGGGCACTGGTGCCGAAGAGGAGGATTTGAAATTGCCCCCTGGTCTAGCTGCCCAGCGTGCTGCTGATGAAGCGGCGGAGGCCGCCAAGGCTGCCAAAGAGGCGGACAAGAAGCAAAAGGCCTCTGACAACAACGAGGACGAAGACGAGGACGACGAGGACGATGACGACCAATTTGACGATAACGATCGCAAGTCGCGCAATGCCAGGAAGGCAAACAAGCCCAAGGTCCAAGTGTGGCAGGTCTCGTGGCAATGGCCTCCCAAGTCGAAGAAGAATTCCAAGTAAAGATGTACTTTGATTTTGATTTGTTTGGGTTTTTCTACAGTAGCTTGCTTGTAGATTAAAAAAAGTTGTATTGCTCGATGAAAGCAGAAGGCATGTTGAATGGTTTTTTTCCCCCAAGCACCAAAAAACAACACGCAAAGAACTTGAAATTGTTTTGCAAACGGTTTATCGAAATAACAACAACAGACACATAGACACACAGACACATAGACACACAGACACACAGACACACACACATACTCACGCCAACACAGCAACAGACTCAAAAAATACACAAACAGACCATGGTATTTTTGAATTGCTTTGTTGTTCTGCTCAACGCCAAATGCTTGCGCAACTAGTTGTTCGCAGTAGGGGCAGCCCACTTGAGGTAGGCAGAGTCGCCGAGTGCTCGTGGGGCAATGCAGTGGCGAGCGAGGAAGGCGAGGCCAAAGATCAGATTGAGGCTGCCAATAACAATGTAGGCAATGCCCAGGAAGGGGTTTTTGCCACCGAGCCAAGAGGTGGTCGAAAAGATAATCTTCTTGTTGCCCGAGAAGACGGCGACGGGGTACCGGTAGTCGATGGTAATGTCGTACGTGCCTGCCGCGAGGGGCGCGTCGAGGATGCGGTAGAGCTTGCGGAAGTTGGGCAGCGCGGCCGTGCGCATCCAAACGATAAAGTCCTCGTTCTCGTACGCCTCGCCATTGGGGTGTACGGGGTTGCTCGAAGAGAGGTAGGTGGTCACGTTCGCGGGCCAGTTCGGGGGCTTGACCGTGTTGGCGAACGACGAAGGGTTGGAGAACTTTGTGTCAACGTCCGAGCTCCATGCAATGCCGGTGGCGGTGACTGCATAGGGGACGGTGGTGCTTCCAAGCTCAAACAGGGTGATGGTGTCGTTGAACAGCGAGTTGGCAATCAGACCGCACGGCGCCATCGTGGTCGACTGGTTGTTGGCGTTCAAGCCAGTGTCAAGCGGGTCGCAGTCGGTGAGCAGCGGGCTGAGGCCGTGTAGCTGGGCGTCGTCGCGCGACTTGACGTAGCGACGGTGATTTTGGTAGTAGTTGGTCAGGCCATAGTACATGTAGGTCGTGCTGTCAAAGTCCTCGTCGATGGTCACTTGGATTTGGCACTGGCAGCCAGAGTTGTGCCAATCGGCAGCAACTTCTGCGCAAGTCTGTCCCGCCCACGGGCCGATGCCCTGGCAGTCCGTGTAGTCCACCTCGACCTCCTTGACTCCATTCGACGAGACCAAAAACCCGATGCCGAGCGGGATGAAGACAATGCCAATGATGAGGAAAACGGGAATGACGGATTTGGGCGTCAGCACTGGCTGCCATGCCGGCAAGCGCTGCTGCTTGAATGCCGAGCCTGTGAGCCAAAAGGGGGGGGAGTGTAATGAGTACAGAGTGGGGGTTGCATCAACAGGGTGCGAAGGAGAGGACGGTGAACGAACAGCAGCAGTAGCGACCGAAGCATCATCACCATCCGACGACTAGTACGAGGACGACTACTACGACCATGACGATTACCATCACTTCTCTGCCATCTCCTTCGTCAAGGGGGGTGTCCTTCTCTCGGATACACAGTGTGTGTGTCGTCACATTTATCAAAAAAAAAAAAAAAAAAAAAAAAAAAAAAAAAAAAAAAAAAAAGACGAACCATCACAAATCTTTGTTGTTGAATGTCGAGCGATGGGAGTGCTGCTTCTGCTGATGCTGCTGCTGCTGTGGCAGACCATTGCGCTTTCACTTGAGGCAGTTGTGCATTGTGAACAGAGGGCATTCCGCGCTCTCGAGTCTCGTCCCAAGCGAGCAGTCATCACAGCTCGAGTTATTATAAAATCAAACAGGGCTTTTCACGTCGCCCTTGCATTGCGGTTTTTTTTTCTCGGCTGTTGTTTCGTTCGTTCGTTCGTTTGGGGTGTGCATCTCAACAGCGACTATCGACGGTGGAGAAATGCAGTGTGGATGAAGTGGAAGCAGCCGCCGTGGGGCGACCAGCGGGGAGTCAAAGACAGGGATGCAAAAAAAAAAAAAGGGGGTCATTCAAAAAAAAAAAAAGCAAAAAAAAAAAAAAAAAGCGAACCTCCTGGCTTGCGGCTCTGAGACATGGCAGCGTCTGCCATTTTCAAACAACTAGAATAGAGGAATGGAGTAGAATGCGAAACAGAAAATAAATAAACAACAATCGCGAAACTAGTTCCATTTTGGTGATTTTGTTTTAATGGGAGGAGGAGGGGCAACAACAATTTCTTCAACAAGCACAACATCTCAAACAAAAAAAAAAAGGGCAGACCGGATGGGTCGCTCACTTTTGCAGCCGCTCGGCAACGTAAAGCTTGGAGAATGCCGCGCTTGCAAACTGGTTGACTTGCTTGCAGTACTGGCCGATTTGGTTGGTGTAAAGAAGAGTGTCGAGGTGCGATGGCGGCACGGGCGCGCGATTTGCGGATAATATGTCGGCTTCGGAAACGGGCTGCTCGCCGGCGGCAATGCGTGCTTCGTTCTCTTGTCGCTGTAGACAGGTGAGAGAAGGAGGAGGAGGATGAAGAGAAGAGGAAGCAAAACAAATTGAAAAATGAGGTGAGCGATGCAGCGCAAATGCTCCACTACAAATGCGTCGCAAAAAAACACGTACTCGCTTCTGTAGCTGCATGCTGAGCGACTGTTGATAGCGGGAAAGAGTGCGTTGGTAGGCAGAGAACTTGTTCTGTTCGGCGTTAAGATCGTCAATGGCGTCAATCAGGAGATCGAGGTTCTTCTCGAGAAGGGTGGTGGTGGGCATGTCGGCACGCTCAAACATGTCGTCGGCGTGGGTGCTCTCCCACTCGAGAAGCAGGGCGTTAGCAAGGTGGGTGTTGTAGATCTGGATTGGGACCTCTTCGAGAATGGTCTCGTGCGTAAGGCCGTTCAGCTTGGGGCTGTCAGAGTCAAAAGGGTTAAAGCAAAGCCAATCAGAGATGAGCAAACAACGCTGGGCCTCTCGATGCCAAATTGGCAAAAGCCGGAACGGTACCTGTCTGCCGAGAAACCTTGGTCCTTAAACAAGTCCATGAAGGCTTGAGTGAGACGGTATGCCTTGAGGGAGATGGAGCCCTGCGTGGTGCGCAGAGGATCTGCACATTACCCGCCAAAAAGCGAGCTCGGCAATGAGTACAAGGCTCCGGTACGCATCATCGATACGTGCAAAGAGGGGGGGGGGACTCTCGTCTGTCTCACCGTAAATGAGCACAACAGCCTCCTCAATCTCGCGCTGGTAGTCAAACATGGTCTCGATCAGGGTTGTGTTGAGGAAGGATCCGAGGTAGGTGGACTGGTAGAAGCCGACCAACAAGTAATCGACGTTGATTGCTCGCAGCAAGCGCAGCATGTCTGTTTGGTATTGATCGGCTGCGGGCAGGAGCAACGAAAGGGAAACACGAAAAGCCCAATGCAAAAAGTCAGCAGAAAGTGAGTGCACGCACGCTGTTTTTCGCCATCCTTCAGCCGCGGCAAGCAGTGTGTGAATTGGGCATTTGTAGGACTTGGTTTGTGGTTTGGGGGCGGGGTTTGCATGGACAACCGCTCACAGCAAGCTGCAATGGAGGGGGGAAAAAGCTGAGATCGCAGCGGTCGATTTTTTTTTTTTTTTTTTTTTTTTTTGGTCGAGTGGTGTTGCATTGGACAAGCTCGGCTTGCTCCTCAGTCCCTTCCCCTTGCTCCTCGTCTGCTGCCGAAAACACGAGGAACATGGCCAACAACAGCAGCACAGAACAGGGTCTGGCAATTTCCGCACCTTCTTGATCGGCCTCGCCGTCGTTGGAGCGCGAGGCGGGGGTTGCGAACGAGTTGGTGACTTCAAGGCGAGAGTCCTGGACGAGGCCGAGCAGCTGGCCGTTGACGAGATCGGGGAGCGACTCGCGGCAGTGCTTGATGATCTTGAGCACGACCTGTGTGTGTATGGGGGGGGGGGGGAAAGGATCCAATCAGTGAGAAACAAGAACGGCAAAGCCAGAAAGGACGCCCGCTCATTCTCAATCGAACGCGAGCTCGGCATCGCCTACTCACGAGGCCGTCGAGCTGAACGTGGGTGATTTTGTTCGGGGTGGCAGCGGCGGCGGCAGCAGCGGCAGCAGCGGCAGCGAGCTGTTGCTGGTACTGCTCTTCCTTCTTGTTGGCCCTGCGGCTCATGGCTTCAATGGCAAAAAAAAAAAAAAAAAAAAAAAAAAAAAAAAAAGTAAGAGTGAAGCAAGTCCGAGTCGGGACTGCTTGAGGTCTCGATAGCATTGTCAAATGTCGAGATGAGTTCAACGGTGAACTTGATCAGGGTTGGAGCAAGGTGGCATACGTGAGAAACAAAAGAAACGAAATGGATTGAGCCTTCACAGCGAAATCCCATTGCGGCTTCTCCGTTTGCGGGCTTGCCCCCCTTGTCCCCTTCGATGCGACTCCAGTGCAGACAGACGTGATTTCATCACTCTTATATCAGATTGATCAATGTGTTGAAAGGTAATGCGAGTTGGTAGCTTCCGATTCTCCTCCGTCATGATTCGCACGTTATTGTGACTTGAGTTCGATGTTGCAATTCACCTGAAATCACGCTGGCTCGCCCAACACAGATCTACAATCGAGAACAGCTTCCATTTCAACTTCAAGCAACAAATCTCATCTGAGCAACAATATCCGACAATGCTGTCGCCCGTTGAGCTACTGTATCGAAAAGCAAAAACAAAAAGGACAACGACAAAACAACGCAACAAACCAATAACAGGTGTCCCGCATGGTGTGGTTTTCGACAGCTTTTATGGATGCGTGACTTGAACAGCAGCAACAACAAACAGCAGCAGCAAACAGCAACAGCAAACAGCAACAGCAAGATCAACAGCAACAGCAACAGTAACAGTAACAGCAACAGCAACATCATCCAAGAATCAAACAAACAACAGAAACGCTCACGGAACAAAAGTCTGGTTGTATTTGCCAGTTTCAAAGGTGGTCGGAAGGACTCGGCAAATCATGCACTTGTCTTGACGCTGTATCATTTCTTGGGCACACCCCACGCAGACACATGCGTGACAGCATGGCATCAATTTGGCATTCGTTGGGGCGCTCCAACAGACCAAGCACTCGCGTTCGCTGCCTGCAACAGCCTCTTCCTCGTTGACTTCAGCTTCTTCCCCCGACAATCGTCTCAGGATCTCGCCGAACGACGGTCGGTCAACTCGTGCTTGCTCGAGGCAATCAACCGCAAGCTCCGCTATGGCTTGAGCCGATTCTTTGTCTTGAGGGCTCCAGTCAATCGCCTTGTCAAGCACCGCATCAATTTTGCGGCTTCTTTTCAGCTCGCGTCGAACATTGGCGAGCAGGTCAATGCTGGGCTGTTGCCCAGTAACAAGCTCAAGCAGAATCATGCCGTAAGAGTACACGTCTGTCTTGATGGAAACCTTGCCTTCGTCGCGATACTGAGGGCAAATGTACTGAAGTGTTCCTTGAACCGTTTGCGTACGAATGGAGCTGTGAGCATCCACTTGAGCTGGTGCTGAGCGCGTCAGACCAAAGTCGGCGACCTTTGCGTTGAAGTGAGCGTCCAGCAGCACATTGTCCGTCTTGAGGTCCAGGTGGAACAGCGGCTGACGCGAAATGGCAGTTTGCACAAAGTGCATAGCATTTGCAACACCGGTGGCAATGCTTTGGCGTTGCTGCCAGCTCAGTGCAAGCGCTCCACCCTTGCGATCGAGACGGTCGCGAACAGATCCGTTTGGCATCAGCTCGTAGAACAAGCAACGCTCGTTGCCTTCCTGGGCATAGCACATGATGGTGACGATATTCGGGTGACGGAAACGCGAGAGGGCTTCGAGCTCGGCCTCAAACTGAGCGACGCCTTGAGTTGAATCTGCTGCCAAGCGTTTGACCGCAACTCGCTGACCGCTCCACACACCAGAGTAGACGCTGCCAAATCCACCTCCACCAATGCGCTTGGACTCTGAAAACTGCGTTGTGGCTTGCGACAGAACTTGCAACGACACTCGCGGAATGGTGGAGAGGATGGGTGCGGCAGATGTTGTTGGTGCTTGCTGAGCGAGCTCCAGCTGAGCAATGCGAGCTTGCAGTTGACGGATCTCTTCGGTGGAGTCAGTTGGTTTCGCGGGACCCGCGTTCGCGCTGCCACGGGGTTTGGAGGCAAATACAGGAGGCGTCGAAGAAGATGGAGCGTGGCTGGAACTTGGAGCAGCGTGTGGCACGCCTGCGGCTGCAGAACGGGTGATTTGCGGAACTTCAGTTGTTGGAACGCTTGGACGGACTTGAGCGGCGCGAGAAGTCATCTCCTGTAGTTGAGCAGGTGAAGGCGTACTTTGATTCAAAATACTGTATGACAGTCCAACGCAGGTCAGTGGAGCGTTCCATCCAACTGTGATTGCAGAGCCAGTATGTCAAAATTACTTAAGCTGGCATGTCCTGTTGCCGACTTGTCTCAAAGCCTTGATGCCATTGTCGGAAATGAAGTTCTGATCAAGACTAGAAGTTTCGGAATGTAGTTTCAAGTTTGAGCGCCAATACATGCACGATTGGAATTCTGAAGCGCAATTGAGCTTACTCGAGCTTTGTCAGCTTCTTGTTCACTTTGAGTGCCTCAGCAATCGCCTGCGCACCAGCATCGCCAATCTGGTTGTCGTCCAGGCTGTCCGTCCCCTCCATCAGTGAGCACTCTTCTGAATCACCCATCACATACACCAGCAAGAGTGAGATGCCTTACTAGAACTCGGTCAGCGTCTTGTTCACTTTGAGTGCCTCAGCAATCGCCTGCGCACCAGCATCGCCAATCTGGTTGTAGTCCAGGCTGTCCGTCCCCTCCATCAATGAGCACTCTTCTGAATCACCCACTATCATGCATCAGTCAAAGTGAGATGCCTTACCTGAGCAGAGTCAGCTTCGTGTTCACTTTGAGTGCCTCAGCAATCGCTTGCGCTCCAACATCGCCAATCTGATTCCGGTTCAGACTGTTCATCCCCTCCATCAATAAGCGCTCTTCTGGATCGCCCAATCTCATGCACCAACAAGAGTGGCATGCCTTACAAGAGCTCGGTCAGTGTTGTGTTCACTGTGAGACCCTCAGCAATGGCCTGCGCTCCAACATCGCCAATCTGATTCTCAGCCAGACTGTTTATCCCCTCCATCTGTGAGCACTCTTCTGAATCGCCCACTTTCATGCACCAGCAAGAGTGAGATGACTTACTTGAGCCAACTCAGCTTCGTGTTCACTTTGAGTGCTTCAGCAATGGCCTTCGCTTCTTCATCGCCAATTTCATACTCAAACAGACTGTTCCCTCCATTCTCGTCAGCACACACACTCGCGCTGTCAACAACTGTGTTCCAATCAACTCGGGCGTTTCTCTTACTGGAGCGTTCCACTCGCATTCATGACTTCATCATACAACTCGCGCTGTCTCTGATTTATAATCTGATACAGCAGCACGCTGGGACGGGTTTGAGCGGCGCGAGACGCCATCTCTTGCAGTTGAGCAGATGATGGCTTGCTCTGATCGTCCGCCCTGTTTAAAGTCCAACGCAGGTCAGTGGAGCGCTCCATCCAACTGTGATTGCAGAGCCACGATGTCAAAATTACGAAAGGAAGAACGTTTTGTCGCCGATTTGTTTCAAAACATTGATGCCATTTTCGGAAATGAAGTTCTGATCAAGGCTAGAGGTTTCGAAATGGGGTTTCAAGTTTGAGCGCCAATACACGGACGATCGCAATTCTGTAGCGCCAATTTAACTCACCCGAGCTCCTTCAGCGTCTTGTTCGCTGTGAGAACCTCAGCAATGGCCTGCGCTCCAACATCGCCAATCTGATTCACACCCAGACTGACCATCCCCTCCATCAGTGAGCACTCTTCTGAATCACCCACCCACATGCACCAACAAGAGTGAGATGCCTTACGAGAGCGAGGCCAGCGTCTTGTTCACTTTGAGTGCCTCAGCAATCGCCTGCGCTCCAGCATCGCCAATCTGATTCCCATCCAGACTGTCCACATCCCCCTCCATCAATGAGCACTCTTCTGAATCACCCACGCTCACGCATCAGTCAAAGTGGAAATGGCTTACGAGAGGTCAGTCAGCTTCGTGTGCACTTTGAGTGCTTCAGCAATCGCCTTCGTTTGTTCATCGTCAATCTGCTTCCCATCCAGACTGTTCCTCTCCATTCTCGTCAGCACACACACTCGCGCTGTCAACACTGTGTTCCAATCAACTCGGGCTTTTCTCTTACAAGAGCACTCCATTCGCGTTTTTGACTTCATCATACAACTGACGCTGTCTCTGATTCATATTCTGATACAACAGCATTCTGGAAGATGTTTGAAAAAAAAAAAAAAAAAAAAAAAGACTACAATGTTGGCATCGCATGCTTTTCTGCTTTTCCAGCCACTGTGTGCTGAAATAGATCGAAATAGCCAGGAGTATAGACTCGAAAAGATAATGAATATTGCAGCTTTACAAGAAACACATGCCAGCCAAACTGCAAACTTGAAAAACAAACTCAGGAAACATGAATGGGATGAACAAAACTGCGGCCACTCCCAGCCAGACTCAAGTAGGATTCGTCAGCGCGAGCGGCAGGGAAATGCTCATGTAGATTATGCATCCGAAGATCCAACGGCACCTCCAATATTCGTGGAGCGTCGGTGGCGACGAACCAAAAAGCCGCCTAAAACAATTAAAGCGAGCAGCACAACGCCGCCAACCACGCCACCAACCACCGCGCCGATCGGAAGGCTGGTCGCATTACTCGCGTCTTTGGCAGCTAAAGCTACTGTGGTAGAGGCGCCAGACACTTTGGAGGCGAGCGTCGCAAAAGACGCCGAGACGGTCGTTGTTGCAGAGTCATTGCTAGCGGCAGAAGCCGCTCTCGTCACATGGGCAACAGATGAGGATGCAGTTGCAGCAGAAGCAACAGATGCCACGCTGGTGACGAACGCAACGGATGTGGATGCGACCGAAGCGGCATAAGCAACCGATGCCTTTGAGGTTGATGCAGCTGACGCGACAGAAGCAGCAGATGCCGTTAACGTGGTTGCCACAGATGCGTCGGATGCCACAGAAGCGACAAAAGCAACAGAAGCAGCGGATGCCTTTGACATAGATGCCGCTGACGCGACAGAGGCAGCAGATGCCGCACTGGTAACGAACGCGACGGAAGTCGACGCAATAGATGCTGCAGACGCGACAGAAGCAGCAGAAGCAACAGATGCCTTCGAGGTGGACGCCGCTGACACAACAGAAGCAGCGAAGCCGCGCTGGTGACGAATGCGACGGATGTGGACGCAACAGATGCTGCAGACGCGACAGAAAGCAACGGAAGCAGCGGATGCCTTCGAGGTGGATGCCGCTGACACAACAGAAGCAGCGGAGGCCGCGCTGGTGACGAACGCGACGGATGTGGACGCAGCAGATGCTGCAGACGCGACAGAAGCAACGGAAGCAACGGATGCCTTCGAAGTGGATGCCGCTGACGCAACAGAAGCAGCAGATGCCGCGCGGGTGACGAACGCGACGGATGTGGACGCGACCGATGCTGCAGAAGCGACAGAAGCAACAGAAGCAGCGGATGCCTTCGAGGTCGATGCCGCTGACGCGACAGAAACAGCAGATGCCGCGCTGGTGACGAATGCGACGGATGTGGACGCAGCAGATGCTGCAGAAGCGACAGAAGCAACGGAAGCAGCGGATGCCTTTGGGGTCGATGCCACTGACGCGATGGATGCGACGGATGTAGCGGATGCGACGAATGCGACAGATGTGGATGCCACGGATGCAGCAGACGCAATGGAATCAACAGATGAAGCAGATGCCGTTACAATAGATGCGCCTGATGCAATGGAAGCAACGGACGCCGCGCTGGTAACGAATGCAGCAGAAGTGGATGCAGCGGATGCGGCGGATGCGGCGGATGCGACAGAGGTGGATGCGACAGAAGGATCCGAAGCGACAGAGGCCACCGAAGCAACGGAAGCAACAGAAGCGGCTGAAGCGTTTGAGGTTGTCGCAGCAGACGCGTCAGAGGCGGCAGATGCGACAGTCGTGGATGCAATAGATGCACCAGATGCAGCTGAAGCAGCAGATGCCGCGCTGGTGACGAATGCAACGGACGTAGATACCACCGATGCGGCGGATGCCACAGAAGCAACAGAAGCAGCAGAAGCAGCAGATGCCGCAGACGGGACAGATGCCTTCGAAGTAGTTGCCGCTGACGCGACAGAAGCAATAGAGGCCGTGCTCGTGACTAATGCAATCGACGTGGACGCTACAGACGCGTCAGAGGCGGCAGATGCGACAGATGCAACTGATGCGACCGAGGCAACAGAAGCGGAAGATGCCTTCGAGGTAGTTGCAGCGGATGCGGCAGAGACGATGGATGCGACTGACGTGGATGCAACGGATGCGGCCGATGCGATGGAAGCAGCAGAAGCAACAGATGCCTTTGAGCTAGTCGCAGCGGACGCAACAGAAGCCACAGAAGCCACAGACGCGTCAGAGGCGGCAGATGCGACAGAAGCAGCTGATGCGACCGAGGCAACAGAAGCGGCAGATGCCTTCGAGGTAGTTGCAGCGGACGCGGCAGAGGCGACGGATGCGACTGACGTGGATGCAACGGAGGCTGCAGAAGCGTCGGAAGCAGCAGAGGCAACAGATGCCTTCGAAGTAGTCGCAGCGGACGCAACAGAAGCTACAGATGCGTCAGAGGCGGCGGATGCACCAGATGCAACTGATGCGACCGAGGCAACAGAAGCGGCAGAAGATGCCTTCGAGGTTGTTGCAGCGGACGCGGCAGAGGCGACGGATGCGACTGATGTGGAAGCAACGGATGCGGCCGATGCGATGGAAGCAGCAGAAGCAACAGATGCCTTCGAGCTAGTCGCAGCGGACGCAACAGAAGCCACAGATGCGTCAGAGGGGGCGGATGCACCAGATGCAACTGATGCGACCGAGGCAACAGAAGCGGCAGAAGATGCCTTCGAGGTCGTTGCAGCGGATGCGGCAGAGGCGACGGATGCGACTGATGTGGATGCTACGGAGGCTGCAGAAGCGTCGGAAGCAGCAGAGGCAACAGATGCCTTCGAGCTAGTCGCAGCGGACGCAACAGAAGCCACAGACGCGTCAGAGGCGGCGGAGGCGGCAGATGCGACAGAAGCAGCTGATGCGACCGAGGCAACAGAAGCGGCAGATGCCTTCGAGGTTGTTGCAGCGAATGCGGCAGAGGCGACGGATGCAACAGACGTGGAAGCAACGGATGCGGCCGATGCGATGGAAGCAGCAGAAGCAACAGATGCCTTCGAGCTAGTCGCAGCGGACGCAACAGAAGCCACAGACGCGTCAGAGGGGGCGGATGCACCAGATGCAACTGATGCGACCGAGGCAACAGAAGCGGCAGAAGATGCCTTCGAGGTAGTTGCAGCGGATGCGGCAGAGGCGACGGATGCGACTGATGTGGATGCTACGGAGGCTGCAGAAGCGTCGGAAGCAGCAGAGGCAACAGATGCCTTCGAGCTAGTCGCAGCGGACGCAACAGAAGCTACAGATGCGTCAGAGGCGGCGGATGCACCAGATGCAACTGATGCGACCGAGGCAACAGAAGCGGCAGAAGATGCCTTCGAGGTTGTTGCAGCGGATGCGGCAGAGCCGACGGATGCGGCGGATGTGGAAGCAACAGATGCAGCCGATGCCTTCGAAGTAGTTGCAGCGGACGCAACAGAAGCCACAGATGCGTCAGAGGCGGCAGATGCGACAGAAGCAGCCGATGCAACCGAAACAACAGAAGCGGCAGATGCCTTCGAGGTTGTTGCAGCGGATGCGGCAGAGCCGACGGATGCGGCGGATGTGGAAGCAACAGATGCAGCCGATGCCTTCGAAGTAGTTGCAGCGGACGCAACAGAAGCCACAGATGCGTCAGAGGCGGCAGATGCGACAGAAGCAGCCGATGCAACCGAAACAACAGAAGCGGCAGATGCCTTCGAGGTTGTTGCAGCGGATGCGGCAGAGACGACGGATGCGGGCGGACGTGGATGCGACGGAGGCTGCAGATGCAACTGAAGCAGCAGAGGCCGCGCTGGTGACGAATGCAACGGACGTGATGCCACTGATGCCGCGGATGCCACAGAAGCAAGAGAAGCAGCAGTAGCTGCAGATGCCGCAGATGCCGCAGAAGCGGCACTCGTCACGTACGCAATTGACGTCGAGGCAACACTGGCAACCGATGCCTTCGAAGCAACCGAGGCCACAGACGACGACATCGCTGAAGCCGTGGCTGCCAGCAGCGTTGCCACTGATGCTTGAGATGTCGACGCCGCGGTCGCAGCGCTCGCACTCGCCGCTGCAATGGCGGAGCTGGCACGTCGTTGATTCACACTTATCACAATCGACGTCATCAGCGTCGTGCGCTCGGTGCTCGACAGGATCGTCTCGAATGGCATGGCGAGCAAAAACGACGAGTAGCTGCCGCTCACGGTGCTCACAGCAGCGATGTTGGTGCCAGAAGCGCCATGGTACAGTGCAGCAGTGCCGCCTCCAGTGACAGTCAGGATGTCAGGGGTTTGAACGATGTAAGGGTTGCCAAGCGCGATGAGCGAGTTGAACGCCACAGTGCCGCTCATCGTGAAGCCTGGGTCGACCGCTTGACGGGCAATGAATGGCGCGCTGGCAGTAGCGCCAGCGTAACCAGCACCCAGGTTGTTGGCAAGGAAGGTCGCACTTGCTCCACCAGCAGCCGCAAGACCAGAAGCGACGTGCGAACCGGTCACAACCAAAGACCGCGGATTGATGATGGTCGCAGCCGCAATCCAAGTGTTGATGACAGCTTGATGCGCTGCAGGGAACACGTTGATGCCAGTGTTCTCTCCTGCAAACCAGATGACAATCTGGTAGTTGACCAAGTAGGCGTTCACCCATGTCGCGTCGAGCAGAGTGCTCTTGGTGGCCGAGTCGCAGCGATAGCCTGCAGCTTGGAGCGCGGAGACATACTCGAACACGTACTCGCGTGTGTAGCGGCCCTCGATATTGTCGCTCGTGTGCACAAAATCGGCGTCAAAAGCATCAACCACGAGAATGCGAGGACCGGCTCCAGAGTTGCGGTACCCGGCAACTGTAAGCTTGGTGAGAGCCTCGCCGCCGGCATTGACTCCAGCAACTTTGAAGTAGTATTGCGTGTCGACCGTGACAGCGGTCGTGACACCACACACGCTGTTACCGTAGCTGAGTGACTCAATACGGACGCTATTACCCGAGGTGCTGGACGCAAAAATGACACCTTCATCCCAGCCGCGACCGTCGGTAGAGGTGTACAGCTTGTACGACGCTGCAGTTGCACTTGATTCCAGCGGATCAGTCGGCTGAACCCAGCAGAGGGCAACGCCGTCGGTTCTTGAGATGGTGTAAAGGTTGGTGACCGGCAACGGGATGATGGTAGGAGACGACGGAACAAAGTACTTGTGGATGCCCTTGTAGATGGCACGACCCAGCTGTTTTTTGTGATAGTTATCATTCGAGGAGTCAGAGACCTTCAGAGTGCATTCACCAATCGCTCGAACACAACCAACAATCCGCTTTACCGTTTCGCGGTAGGATTCTTTCGCCATAAGCGCCATTTCAGTGGCATTGAGCACGTCAACAATGTATGTCATGAACGATGGCATGTTGGTGTTTAGGGTTAGTTCCGCTTTTGCTGCGGGAGTATTTCCTTGATTGTTTTGCCCTGTCGCTTGCTGAACATTCAAGCGGACGCTAGTTGCCGCGGTGCCGCACGCCGCGTAGAGTGCTGAAGTCAGACCGAGATTCTGTGGAGATTGTACCAATTAGCATCGTTCACTCGAGGGCACCATTCATCGCCTGCTTACCGTGTTGGACGTGACGGTTGCTACACCTGATCCTGCACCGCCACTTGCCCCGATACCTGCGTACAGCCAGTCGGCACCATTTTGCCTGTTCAACAAATCTACATCCAGTTTTTGGTTGAACATGTAGTTGGAGAACTTGGCTCTGGCCTGGTAGTCGGTATCAAGGATGGGCGCGATGTCGGCGAGTAGTTGAAGACCCAACGCAGTAAACTGGCCTTGACTCATAAAGCTCAAAAAGTCCTGGGCTGACAGTTTCCAGCGCGGAATACCGGCTGACGCTCCGCATCCGACGCGTACTGCATCGGCCATCGCAAATTTGACCAAAGTTACGGGCATTTTGTTGGTGACCTCGATCTTGATTCCGGCTGCGGCAGTAAAGTAGTAGCGGCCAAGATACACAAAGATGGAGTCAAATTGATACATCGGGACAGCTATTGTCTGGATGCCTCCGGAATGCGTAATGCGAATGTCTGGGGTGCCTCGATTGAGTAGGCTCGGCCAAGTCATGTAGACGGGGTAGTAGCCAGACGTGGAAATTGTAGCGGTAAATGTGGCGGTGGCAGTTTCCGTTGTAGATCCCGCAACCCAGTGTTGATCGGAACCATATCCTGCAACGATTGATGCGTAGAACCACGAAGCACCACTGTTAGCAGTGTAAGTTACTTTTTTGGCAGCTGTGTTGTCAAAATCATTGATGATGACTTCTGTGGGAGTGTCAAACCAGCGTTCTCGAGTAGAATAGACGCTGGCGCCTGCATTGGCAAGGTACTCTTGAAGGTAGCGAATGGTGATTTCGTTCGTGTAAATGTCTTGCTGAAGCGACTCCTGACTAGAGTAACCGGAACCGGAGTTGTAGTAGCCTCCAGTCGCCCCAGAGCAAGTCAACCAGCCCAGCGCAGGCGACAGGACGACATTCTTGGTGGACAGCTGCGGAGCAGTCGAGCTGGCAGCATTGACCCACTTGGTTGGCAAATTGTGAATGTCGGCTTGCGCATTCATCGCGGCAAGCGCGAGAAGAATAGCGACGACGAGCGAACGCGCCATTTTTTTTTTTTTCTGAATGCTAACAACAAATAGCAAGCAAACATGGATCCAATCATGAGTGACTTTTGCTTCCTTGCTCCCTGAGCGATAGTTTCACTGCTCCCTGAGCAATCAATTATTTGAGTCATTGCCACCTCGGGGAGCTGTGCCATTTCGCCGCCCCGCTTTCTGCCTTTCTCCTCCTCCTCCTCCTCCACTACCAGCAAGCCCCTTGTTTTGTCTGCCCCACAATGTCCATCGTGACGCTCATCGGGATGCGTTGGTCCTCGCTAATTACCGGAGGTTTTGAGTTCGCACTCGCGAGAGAAAATAAAATTCAAAAAGGTGTCGAAATCAAAAATAAAATCGATACCGCAATCGAACGAAGTCCAGCAAGTATGAGACTTTGAACTGATATCGATGTACTCGAATCGAGATTGTGTGGCTGCGATGCCAAAGGTGTCGGAACGAAAAAAAAAAAGTCAAAACTGCAAGTGAAGGCAGTCGAGTTGGATGGGACTTTGCAGTGATGAGGTTGCGTTCGAACCGACATTGGGCGACTGCGACGTCAAGTCAAGCGAGCGAGAAAAAATAAAAAGATAAACGCAACATGCTCAGCAAACCACAGACATTTCCAAAACAAGCATGTCCATATATCCCGCTCGCGCTCTCTCTCTCTCTCTCTCTCTCTCTCTCTCTCTCTCTCTCTCTCTCTCTCTCTCTCTCTCTCTCTCTCTCTCTCTCTCTCTCTCTCTCTCTCTCTTCTCGCAAAATGTAATTCTGCTCGCTTTCCATTTCCACCGACCCTCCAAAAGCCCACCGCGAAAGACTCTTGGCTGTAATGCACGGACGCGATCTGCGCCTCTTTCTCAGTTTAAATTCGCACCCTGTCCCTGTCACGTCGAGAAATCATGACCTTCTCAACGTATTCGCTCCCTGGCTCCATCACGTCGATGAATCACGTCCTTGTCAGTGTTATTCAGTGCCCAGAGTTGTGTGTTTTCAGTTGTGGCACGGCAAGGAGAATGGCGCGCGCGCGATGAGGCATGCTCTGAGCATTCTGGGTGGCAACAACACCTTCTTTCTTCACCCGCTCTGCCGCTCGCCTTCGCTGCTCCTTTCACGCAGTGAATTGTTGTCATGGATCAGGTTGCCAGCTGTACGAGAGTTGAGAGGAGGGACACAGGCAGTGTTGTGTTACCTTTCGTTACAATGCGCACGAGAATTTCAAAAACCCAAAAAGGACTGAGGAAGTGTTACAAATCCAGATTTTAAGTGCGAGTGTCAAGGTCCAAACCTGAAAGTGTCATCTCGCTTCTTTTCGTGCTGCCCATGAGTGAGGACAACGATGTACGCTTTGAGTGAATGGAAAAAGAGGCGCTGGACTGAGTATGTAAGGGGGGGGATGGACGGCGCCACGAGCGCGAGCGCAGCGTTCGGCGAAAATGCCGATTTCCATGGGGAGCTAGCAACAAGCCACCCTTCCATGATGGATCGGGTCTTCCAGTCGGGCTGCATAGCAACATGGCAGTCGGTTTGCGAAATCGTGTCAGCCTACAAGCAGCACTGAATGTAGAACCGTGGCAGACCCGCCAAAATCGAATGTTCCACTTCAATCCCGAAAATCCCTAAGGTGCCACGACGAAATAAATGCAGGCGAACCAGCAATTTCCCTGGAATGCAGCTCTAACTTGCACCATCCTTGAAGCAAATTGCTCACCTTCCGGTTGACCTGCCCATGATGCGAAAGCTCGAATCTCGCTCATGACTTGATCGATCGGGGTGTAGTATTCATCGGGAACTCTGGCTCGACAGGGTGAATCAATCAGATAATATGCATTATGAAACTACAAGTGACAAACTACAAATGAATCACGCATTCTGAATCGACAAATCAAACAGATAATATGCATTCTGAATCTACAAATCGTGTTCTGAATTATGACGCATCGGCAGAGGGTTGAGATATGTTGGCTGAGGCGACAATTCGCTCCGAGAAGAAACGATTGTAGTCCAATCTAAGCAATAGCTGCGCAACATGCACGCCTGCTTGTTGGCCGCGTCCGCCAGACAACATGCGAAAAAGAAAATCCCATTGGCGGTCAAAATTCTGCACAAAAAACGGTCAAAACCATCAGCCATTGGAAATGTTGGCCAGCGATCAAGCCGACAACCACCAAACCTTTGTGATGCGCTCGATAATTTCCGCGGGTGGGGTGGGAGAATTGACGACTGCATCGCAGAAAGCATGGCAAGCCGACCAAACCTCCACGATTGTGCGCAATATTGCAGGAGTTCCGAGAAAACATTGCCGAGCAATCTGCTCCAACATTAAGCCTGGGATGACGGGGTTGCACAATCAGTCAGCACAATTGAGACCAACACGCTCGTCGGTTGATCTTCTCGCAACGTACCATGTGCAGCAACGACTGTATCAAAATCAGAGGCAGATTCGAGGGTTGATGCAAAAATTGCACATTCCGGGATGATAATGTCACTCTGTTTGCGCAACGAAACCTGTCGTTCAGCAACGGCCGTGGAAAAGTGACAACAAGGACGCAAAGTACAAACCTGGAAATACTGCAGGAGGTTGTTACAAATAAATGCAAGGCGATTTCGCAAATGAAGGACGGGCAGATTGGGCTGCCGAACGTCAGCCAAACGCTTCCAACAAGTGTGAAGCCGACGTTGCGCCAAGGTAGCTGCTAACAAAAACCGGCAAAGCTCGTGATAGCTGAAATGCAACGACAAAGAATGAAAGAAAAGGGTTGAGATGAGCCGTGAAATCGTAGCCAACACCAGCCTCAGGCAGGCAGCCAACTTACCGAGACATGACGGCAGCGGAGAAGAACAGTGTGAGTGGCCAGTCGATCTGGAATGCAACTTGCAAGGACTCCCGAGCAAGTGTCAGCGAGCGTGACGATGAAGCTGCAGCGGAAGGGTTCTCTGTGTGATACCGTCGCAGGGCTCAGTGTGAAGGATTTTGTCAAGGCAGGGGCGGGGAGAGCTCAATCGTCCTAGTCTTCAATCCTTACCAAGAGGAGAAAGCCGCAAACTGCACTTTGCAAACTCGGCATTGTTGTCCAAGTTACATGCGACAGCAGCGCGACGAAGTGCAGCGTTGAGGTCTGGATGGCACAAATATGAGCGAGCGGTTGTTGAAGGAGGCGGGGGGAAGGGAAAAAGGCAAAATGGAGAAACGCATGGCACGTACCGAATTCCGAGTTGGCCGTTGGAGTTGAGCAAAGGACTGTGCTCGTATCATCAAGCAAAAGCATCCACAAGGCGCCATTCCTCAATAGGATGATATCATGAATCATCTGCAAACGCAAGGTGGATGCCGCTTAGCGACAAAAGCTCGACGTCAAAATTGCAACTCGAGAAGAAGGAACTGACAGTCAGCATGCGAGACAGTCCTTGATTGTGGGAAACCAACGCCCACAAATGCGAGGCCACTGTGGTGCGAATGGCTACCACTGCAGCGGCCAAGTTGGATGTTCGAAACTCGCTGGACCGAGCATGATTCAAATCCGCTGCAAAACGTTGCTCATCGTCGTGGGTAATTCGGCAACTAGTAATTTCTGCATCAAAAGCACAGAATGCGAAGAAGTGAGGAAAAACGGATGCCATCCGACGCGGCTGTTCCAAAACAGAAACAAAAAACCCTACTTTGGGCCTTGCTCGACGAAGACTTGTCTCCGCCCCGCAGCACACGAACGGCAGCACCGACAAAGAGAATATCTTTGGCAAGTTCTCGAGGTACCAACGATGGAAGCGAGGCCCGGAGTCCGAACTGGACATCCGACCTGTTCAAAGGAGCGCAAGAAGTGAGTGTCAACGCAAAAGCCAAAGTCGGTCAGGGCAGAGGTGCATTCGCGTACCAATCAATGGCAGTTTCTGAAAGACTTGGATCAGAATCATCAGATGCGGCACTGTTGTTGTCCCTTTCATAAACGATAAACTCGTTGTACGGATCAACGAGACGCCCATGGAGGAGCCATGCCGATAATTGGTTGTAGAACACTTGAAGAACTGCATTAAACAAGCTGCACGGTTGAAGTGATGCGCGCAAACATCATGAGCGGCAAGCGAGTGCACGAGCAAGCGAGCCGTCGAGAGTCACTCACCTCAGCAAGGCTTCGCGAACATCTGGCATGCCGCAAGCCAAGTTCGTAAATAATAAGTCAAGAATGAAAGAGGAGGGAGCATCTTTGATCGCCTCGACAGCCGCTACGAGTCCGAGCAAGTATGGCAACAGTAATCGAAACTGGACATGGATGACAATCAATGGTGAGAGGGCACATTGCCAACCCGCGTACCTCTACAAGCGCTATCTGGCCTTCACCACCAGCAAGTGTGACAGAGAAGTTGCCGACCTACCTTGGAGAGCGCATAATGAATGTGGGACAACTGGGTGGCGGGCTCGGACAGTAGACGCTTTTCGAGTTGTAGAATGGCTTCCCGGTACTCGTCCAGGACGACTGCCATTGCCGTTTTGAGTGCATCGAGATAGAGACTTTGTCTTCCCTGGCCTTCTGTGGTTTCATGACGTTCGATCGAGTTGGGTCCATGCCAACTGAGCGACACAAAATCAACCATTGCTCGATCTCGTTGAACACAACAGTGCGCGCCGTCAGCGCCACCTCCAAGTAAATGCCCATGGTTATTACCTGGCGAGCGTGAACGCCCTGAAGCAAAGTGGTCGAGCTCAGCGTATGCCGCTCCAATCTCGAGCAGGCGGTTGCAAAGGTCTCTGCGCGCAGTCATGTTGTGAGTGAGCAATTCCCAACCCCCAACCCCGCCGCGCCTCCCCACTTCAAGCTTCAAGGTTGATCCGATCGATGTTTGCTTTTGCTCTTGGAGTCGCGCGTCTCACCGTTCGCTGGGGTGCAGCAATGGAAGATGCTCTGCGACTCGAAATTGGCGGGAAACACGAACTTGGCGCGCTCCAGCATTAGCACCAGCATCAGCATCAGCACCAGCATCAGCAGCAGACGAGCCACTACTGTCGGCAATGGAGTCTGCAGCAGTTGAGTGCGGTCCTTTGCTTGCGACGACCGACTGGCAGTGGAACAGATCGCCGGGGTGGCCGAGCAGTGCAGCAAGCAGCTCGCGCAGCATCCAGTCCAAGACAACACAAACGCAGACTGAACCAACAACCAATATGTAGATACTGCTCATGTACTACTGTCGGATTGCGATGAGACACTCGACGCCTTACTCGCGATGCGATGGACTCGGGTTCAATGTCTGGGTTGAGTCGACTCGACTCTGTCTCAGTTGCTTGGGAAGAGGGGGCGGGGGGAATCGCCTTCAACATAGGTTATATTGATTTTGGGTTCTTGTGTTTGTTTTCTGGCTTCCGTGTCTGAGCTCAGTCTGAGTTTTTTGACCACTTTCTAAGCGCGTTCGACACATGGAGCAGCAACAATCAAGTTCAAGCTCCAGCCGGCATCGCAAGCGCCGCGAACAGCTGCTTGCAAACATGACTGCTGAGCAGCGGGCAGAGTGGGACGCGCGCCAGGCCGAGCGGAAGGAGCTGCGCAAGGTCGAGCGAGGCGGGTCGCTGGGCGGCATGTGGCTGTTCCAACACGCGTCGGACTCGTCCGAGCTGTCTGCGTCAAGCTCAGATGATCAAGAAGAGCAAGAGGAACAAGCTACAGGAGCCAAGCGCACAGGCGCGGCCGGGAAGACCGGATCACCGCGCTCGAGCAGCTCCAACGCCAATGCGAACACTCGCAGGTCAAGCACAACCACCCACACAACGGGAGGAGATGACGAACAAGAAGACGACGACGATGAACCGTACAAGGCCTTGTTTGCAACGCACGGTCAGCAGGCCGGATATGTGTTCAAGCACGCGCTGCAGGAGCCAACTCCAGCCCAAGTCGCCATTTTGCACACTCCGTCGGCGGGCATCGCCTTCCAGCTCTGGCCGGCCGCAATTGCATTGTGCGACTACCTCGATCGGCAACATGCAAGCAATGGTCGCGACAATTTGGCCGGTCGCACGGCACTGGAACTCGGCGCTGGCACAGGGCTCGTCGGCATGGCCGCCGCCAAGCTAGGGGCGCATGCTGTCATCACAGACCTCCCACAAGTGATTGGGTTTATGGAGCAGAACATTGCGCTCAACCCTGAATTGAATGGAGGCACGTGCACAGCGGCAGGATTGGCCTGGGGCGAGCCGCTTCCGGCCGTTCTCCCTCCGTTCGAATACCTGCTCGTCGCGGACTGTGTTTACTGGGAGCAACTCATTCAGCCGCTGCTGGACACTCTAAAAGAGCTGTGCCCGCTGGGCAGCTCCAAGGTGGTGCTCGTTGCTCAATTACGCCGCCGCAAGGTGGAAAACCGATTCTTCAAAGCACTGCCTCGCCATTTCGACGTTGAGCAGATTGAAACGCAGACCACGCCGGCGTCGCGACGACTCATTCGTCTGATGCGTTTGACCCCAAAGCCTGCGCCAGTCTCCCGGCCAACTGGCAAACAGGCGCCAGCGCCTCGCCCATGACAGCGACATTCATTGCTTAATTTGTTAACGACGACTGTTTGTAAACTCGATGAAAACAACCAACAAGGCATCCTCTATTTATTTCGTCTCAACTTTGACCTTTGTTCAGTTGAACCAGGTCGACAGTTTCTGTACACTTTTTGGCATGCGGGGTTTACACAAGCACAGGTCAAGGGGGAAGGAAGAAACAAGGAACACACAGACAAGCTCGAAACAGCACCCGATAAAGGTGGTGTTGAGCAAGAAATACACAAACGACCAAAACAAGGCGGAGGGTCTCTCCCAAGGCAAAACACGAAATCACCAACACAAGTACGCATGGCAAGAAATAAAATAAAAAAAAAGTCTCCCCTTCACAAACGATTCACCTTTTACTGAGTGCGCTGAGTAGGTGACTTCAACGGGTCTGGGCCTCGCGAAGCCGAGACGCCGCCGCCAGGGAGCGGGGTCCACTCCTGCTTGCTGGACTGGAAGCCCGACTTGAAAAAGTCGTCCGAGGGCTCCTTGTCACCCTGCCAGTCGCGGGCCGCAAGGTGAGTGCTCGCCTTGTCATCCTTCTTCAGAGTAGAGGGCGCTTGGGACATGCCGAGCACCTGATCCTCCTTGCGGAGGGACGGGTCGTGTTGGGGCGTGCTGCCAAAGACATACTGCTGCATCGGAGTGCTGCTTTCGATGCTCACGTCGTCTCCGGGAGGCGAGTACTGGTACAAGTCGCCCTCACGCGGCGAGGCGGCGCCACCGGGAGAGCCAAGGTTGTAGCCCATGCGCTTGAGCGAAGGGTGATCGGGAGCGTTGATGCCAAATGCAAAGCGTTGCAAGCCGCTCTTCTTGGACTCCTTCGTCTCGGTCTTGCTGCTCTTCGAAAACTTGTACTGGTCTCCGCTGATGGGAAGTGCCGCACCTCCGGGAGTGCCAGCTTGGTAGCCCATGCGCTCAAAGATCGCGGCGGACTCGGGCGACAAGAACGACTGCGACTGCATCTTTTGGTCGCCACCCTTCAAGTCCGCGCCTTCCTCGATCGGGACGGCAGCACCGCCAGGCGTGCCAATCTTGTAGCCCATGCGTTTGAACATGGCATCCGTCGGAGAAGAGGCCTTCTCGCCCATGGACTGCTTGTCCATGGCACCTTCGATCGGCACGGCGGCGCCTCCAGGAGTGCCAATCTTGTAGCCCATGCGCTTCAGGATGGCATCCGTGTCGGACGAGCGTCCTTTGGAGCCTGCGGCAATGCCACCGCCTGCGCCAATTCCGGCAGCAGCAGCAGCAGCACCAGCACCAATGCCAGCAGCCGCACCGAGTCCCTTGGTGGAACCGCTCGACCACTTGTACATGTCGCCCTCAAGCGGAACTGCAAAGCCACCAGGTGTGCCGGCCTTGTATCCCATGTTCTTGAACACGTTGTCAGACTGAGCAGACAGCGGCTTGTTCAGTTGCAGATTGGAGCCGGCTCGCATTGCGCGTTGTGGCACCCACTTGTACATGTCGCCGTCAAGCGGCACGGCAAAGCCGCCGGGGCTACCCGCCTTGTAGCCCATGCGCTTGAGGACAAGCAGCTTGTTCTGCCAGATCTCCTCGAGGCTGACCGCAGCGCCGCCGGGAGTACCGGCTTGGTAGCCGAGCTGCTCGAGCGTCTTGTGTGTGCTGCCCACGCTGGTCTTGTCCGACACCGCTGTCGCCGCAACCACAGGCGCCCGCTGGCCTTGAGCCGCTTTCATGCCCACGGGGAGAGGGCTGAGAGACAGGGCGGCCGAAATGGGCCCACCAATCGACGTGTTCTTGAGAGCGTTGCGCGACTCCCTGCTGGCCCTGGCGAGATACATGTTGAGGCGCTGGGACAAAAAGTCCATAATGTGCTCAACCTTCATGGTGGCAGCGGCCTCAATCCTCTTCTCGAGCGGAGCGCGGAAGATCTTGGTGCCCATGTTCAGCAGGAAGGTATGCTTTGTGTCGCGGCGGAAGTGCAGGTCAAAGCCGTGCAAGATGAACTGCACCGAGTGGTGCGAGAACTGTGGAGTGGGAGAGAGCTCGTCCATGTACAGCCAGATCTTGAGGGACGCGCCCCTGCCCTTAATGTCCACATCCACGGTGCCTTCGTCCGTGAGGCGAGGGAAGGCCTTGCGCTTGAAGAAGAACTTGACGTTCGGGATGTGCGTGGTGATTTGCTTCACCGTCATCTTGACGACTGCGCGCGTGCCCTTGTCGGGACCGTCGATGCCAATCTTGCTGGTGGTCTTGGTTTCGATGGAAATATTGCTGGGCAGAACGTCACGCGCCGAGAAGATAATGTTGTCAATGACATAGTCGTACGTCTCGTCGCAACCCTCAATGCGCGGCACAGGGACATGCTCGAGCTGGTCGATGACGACGGGCGCAATAATGTCCTTCATTTCAGAAAGCGCGGCAAAGTTGAGCGTGCGCTGGTGGTCGCCCGTCTCGGTCGTAAAATCAGACAGGAGCTGGTCGCCGCTCTCGCGCAAGCTGGTGAAGATTTCGTCGTGGCGAATTTCGTCGAGCAGAATGTGGGTCTCCCTGCTGAGCTTCTGGTAGTCGCGATCGTACTCGTAGTCGCGAGAGTGCGCCTTGGCGCGCTGCAGAAGCTCCTGACCCGAGCGAATGTACTCTTTGCGCTGGAGCAGAACAGGCAGGTTGAGCACATCCTCGAGCCAGCCGCGAAGATCGTGGAAGAGCTCGCGCATGTAAATGTCGCGGGAAACGCGGCGAATGACCGTGCGTGCCGAACTCAGGAACGGATCCACAGAGTGGTTGCCGGTGAAGCTCTGCACAGCGAGCTTGGCCTCCTCGCGCAGACGCTCCTGATCGCGAGTGATGTTCTCCTCGCGGGGGCTCATGGCGTTCTCTTGGATGGCATCCACCATGGCAAACAGCGCATTGATAGACTGCTTGTAGTGCTTGTTGTTGGCCATGACTTGCATCACGTTGGACAGGCGCTCAAACAGGGTCCGAATCTGCTCGTCAGATTCGTACGATGTCGAATCAGGGTCGAGTCGCTCCGCCGCATTGTGCAGCACAGCCTTCGTCTTTTGTTTGACCTGAAGACGTCATGGAAGTCAAAGTCAGTGTGGCAGCAGACGCTTCAAAACAAAAATATGCAAGTCATGCAAGTCGTTTTTAGTTCGTTCTCTTGCTTACAGTGCCTTCCGCCGCAGTCATGCTGGAGAAAGTAAAGATGTTGTCCATGATTTCGACGAGCTCGAGGATGTTGGAGCGGAACTCGTTCGAGCGTGCCATCATGGTAATGGTGCTGCCCATAGAGCGGAGCGTTGAAGTGAAGGCATCCTTCATCACCCTATTCCACCAAAAAATAAAAAACACAAAGGTGAGTTGCACACGTTGAGTGGATTTTGTTTCGTGCGCAGGGGCATTCGAAAGTCTGAAGGAATTCGAAACGCGAAAAACAGAAGAACGCGGTAGGAAAATACCCAAAAAAGGAAATGGAGCGTTCGCTCCAAAAGCACTCAAGGGTGGCACTGATGCTTCAATGGGGGTCAGACTGCTCGAGCTACGAACAGACTAGGACCTCGGAAGCAGCAACCGAAAGCGAAAAACGAAACCAAAAAAAAAACAAAACAAAAAAAACTCAAAACTCAAAACCGAAACAAGAACGCCACCGAGCTTTTTTCGAAATCTCATCGCCTCCGCCACAACGCTTCCACAACAAAATATGTGCACAGCTGTTTTGCACGGATGAAATGTGGATGAAGGGAAGTGTCCTGGACGTCATCGGTGCTGTAGATGCATCAAGGCGCTAGTTTTTCGAGCTCACTTACGGGGCGTTGATACCGCGCACTCCGAGGGCGCCTTGTTCGGCATTGAAAACATGCTGCAGATGCTCGTCCTGGTTGCGTTGCTGCAGAACTTGCTCGGCGGCGTGCAGGAACTGCTCAGCATGCGCAATAAATTCGCTGCTTCGGCGAGTTGTTCTCGGATCGTGCTTGCGCTGCTCGAGCGTCTGTTCGGTGCGTTCGATAACCTTGCGCAGCTCCGAGTTGGCAGGCATCTCGCCATGCCGCATTTTGGACACCACGTCGAGCGCAGCATTCGGCTGCATGCCAATGAGGTGCTCCCTCTTGACAGCCTCGAGAGTCTTTTCAACCGGCATTTTGTTGTTGTAGTGATACAAGAGTAGCTACCAAACAAAAAAATGCTTGAAGATGTGAAAAATGAGAAGTGAGGGGGGTTGTTGTGCAAAACCGATTTATCAGGGAAACGAGGAGCGAAAAACACAAAAAAAAAACGACAAAAGTGCGTTTCTCCAAGTTGCCGTGCATGGCACTGCACCTTCTCTAAAGAAGTTCGGATGGCGGTCTGGCACCCGGGATCATCCTTTTGGGCTACTTGGTGTTCTAGAAAGTCAGGTGAGCGCGATAGAATGCTTGGACTCACGGTGGGGGCAGTGAACATGATTGAAAGTGTGTTGTTTGTCCGATCTTGCCAACACAAACAGAGAAAACAAGCCCAAACAACTTCGGGGGTGGAAGAAGATATCGGAGAGAGAATAAAAGCGAATCGAGGAGACGGGTAGTAATTGAGTCAACTGAAGCGATCTGCACGACCGAAGGATGGGGTTTTCAAAAACGCAAACTTGTTCGCTCGATTCTCCATGCAGGCGACAATCCACCGTCCAAATCAATGCGGTTGGCTATCGAAACACGTCTTGTCGTCGAATGCAATCTCAAACAACAAATAATTCATTTGTCATTCCAACACAAACACTTTTACAACATACAACTCACACAACCACGAACAAATCTCGCAGTATTTCGCTTTTCCTAGTTTGTGACACTGTCATGCATCATGACGATGCTCAGACAGTGATACCAGCATAGTTGGGACCGTCAGCCGACTTCTGCTTGAGCTTGATGTGCGTAATAATGTTTTGGAAGTTGGCGTTGATTTGGTTGTACTCGTCGTTGCGATCCATGCTAGCAATGTTGGTGGTGATCAGCTCAATCAGACCAGTGATGTACTTGAGAGTGACCTGCCAATCGTGTTCAGCCCAATCAGCAAAAGGAAACGCGGTTGGGCGTGGCCCCAAAAAAAAAAAGAAGGAAAAAATGCAAAACTCGTGGTCCAAAACCTTACCATCTCGTTGCCACGCTCGTAATAGTAAACATAGCGATTAAGCAGCTCGACAAACAAGTGCACGTTCATGGACGCGTCCATGCATGTATCGGCAATCTTGAGGGCTCGTTGCAAGCACTCGAGAACGCGCTTTCCGTCACGTCGCTGTCGGTTTGGATGCAATTGGGGGTGCGGTTGCACGAAAATTGGGTGAGGATTTGGCGAGTTCGACACGACATGGAAACAATTCAAGAACGAAATGTCTGACGGAGAATCCTGGCCAAACTCACCTCCTCGCCTTCAGCGTTGGAGCCAGACCAGAACAAGTGCGACAGCGTCGAGATGGCGCGGCATTGATCGGGCTTCTTGAGAAGCTTGCTTGCGTGCAGGGCGCACTTGGTGGAAAGACGGTCAAAGTTGTCGTCGCCAAAGCATGAGGTCGCTTCCAGAGTGCCAATCAGCAATGAAACGGCGCTGATCTGGGCCTTGGACTCGGAGATGTCTTCTTCGAAGATTTGAATGGCCTGGAGAATCAACGTTCAAAGAGGCAACGAAAACAAATCGAGGCGGGGAGCGGGGGGGGAGGTGAGCAAACAAACGAGAAAAAAAAAAAAAGAGAAAAAAACATGCTCAAAACCATTCACTCGCGCCTTCCATCTCAAAAATCAATTCGCACCTGTGTGACAAACTCGTATGCAATGTTCTCAACACCAGTCTTGTCAGCAGCAAGGGCTGCTTGGAGGAAGAGACGCATGGCAAGCTCGGAAAAGTCGGCCTTGGCAAGGGCGGTAATGGTCTGGTGGCAGAATTGGAAAATCTTCTGGCACTTCTTCTCCCACAGCTCGTCTTGCTCGCGAAGCGACGAGTAGAGGACAGCCAAGCGGAGGGCGGAGAAGATGAGAGGGGGCAGCGTGTAGCGGATGCGGGTCTCGCCGCCGTTGCCAAAGTGCTTGCGCGCAGTGGAAAGGATTTGGTAGTGCTGATCGGGCTGCTCCGAGTGGAAGAGGGACACGAGACGTCCAACGAGGCTCTGCTCCTCGGCGAAATCTTCGGGGTCGTCCTTCTCGGCGGGTTGGTCCTCTTGGTCGACAATGAGAGGAGCAACCATGTCGAGGAGCGCCGTGACCGACTCGGGGGCAGCAAACTTGGTCTTCTTGTCGATAGCAGCGCGCACAATGTGGGTCGAGAGGTGCTTGCGCGACTCGTAGCCAAAGAAGGCAATCAGCGGAGTAAAGTTCTCGAGACGCAAGACGGTCAGAACGTCCGGGTAGGCGTCCAGGGGCAGCTTGAGAAGCTTGGTCAGCTCCTTGGCAGCGGCGGGGCTGTCAGCATCAATGTTGGTCGTCTTCATGCGAGTGAAAATGTCGGCAGTGTTGCGCAAGACCTTGTCCATGTACTCGAGCTTGTCCTTGTAGCAGTTGAGAGCCAGCTTGGCCAGCGACACTTGCAGGGCGAGCATGTCCTCGGTGGGCATGTCGGGGCGCGCCTCAATGACGGTGGCGACCTGGCCTGAGAAAATCTCAAACAGCTTGAGCTCCTCTGGAACAGAGCCGTCGCGGGTGGCGAAGGCGGCAAGGCGGTCGAGCAGTGAAATGATAATGTTCTTGACGTTGACGGCCTTGTGCAGCTCGGCGCAGGCAGCGAGGAACTTGGGCAAGGTGCGGAGGTGGTACTCGTCAGGGAAGACCTGAATGATGCACTCCATGAGGTACTCTTGGGCGATAGCGTCCTTGCAGCTCACCACCTGCTCGAGAATGCCGGGGAGCACAGTCTCGTCGTAGCACGCGGCATCCACGCCCTCCAGCTGCGACAGACGCACAAGGTTGGTACCGACGAGAATGCGAAGCTCTTGGCGCTCGCGCTCACGCTTCTCGCGATCGCGAGAGTGGCCCTGGTGCTGCATGCGGACCCACAGCTTGTTCATCTCGGCAAAGTTGAGCAGCACAAAGTCGATCGACTCGCGGAAGGAGCCGTCGCGCTGCGGGTTTTCCTCGGACGTGTCAGGAAGTACGTTCTTGGTGATGGACAGCAGGTAGTTGCGCAAGAACAATCCGCGAAGCGGGTGCTGCACGCCACGGCACATTTCAACAAGATCCTTCAGAATGTCCTTCTTGGGAGCTTCCTTCGCCTTGATGTACACGGCGCCGACGGTGATGAGCAGGTAGAGACGCGGGATGATGTTGCCAGCGTACTGCACCAGCTCATACAAATCAGACACGCGCTTGCCCTTCTCAAACTCGTCAATCAGGTACATTTCGAGGTAGCGCAGCTCGTCCGAGACGGTCATGTCTGCGGAGACGACAAGGCGTCAAAGTGAGCCACCCATTTTGTTTTTCAAAAGACAAACAGTCGCGCGCGCATCTGGAAGGGGGGATGTGGCGTACAGAGCTCGTAGTAGGTCTTGGGCGACATCATGGCAGTGCGCAGCTCGCTAAGCATGGTCGAGCAGTGCTTGAGCGCGTCCATGAGCTTGTTCTTGTCCTGTGTTTGCAACAACGAAGCAGAGTTTGTCAATTTCGATTCGCAGCTTTTGGCGCTTTCTCTCCCTCCCCTCATCCGCAAGAGCGACTTGCACGACTTCTCATCAGAGACCAAATCCGCGCCCGACACGGGGCTCAGAAGTCGAATTTCCCAGATCTCGCTTTTGGGAATCATCAGCGAGCATCACGAGAATGGCTGTTTTTTTTTTTTTTTTCTTTTTTGTTTTTTTTTTGTTTTTGATTTGTTCGGCAATCCAGACTGCTGCAGTCCCATGCAAGAGCAGTCCAATTTGGCTGCAGCGTTGACTTGTTCTCATCGATAGCGACGTCGAGATGTCGCCCACACCGGCCGCTCTCCCCCTTCATGCAACTCATAGCAAAGTTCATTGAAAAAAAAAAAAAAAAGAGCGAGATCTCAAATTTGAGCCTGTTCTCGCATTGGAAGCGAGCGAGATCAGTCGTCCCTCCGTCCTTCCTGATACATGCGATGAGTGGTCGGGCTCAATCCGCTCATGTCTGGTCCGCCATCAAGTCGGTGGGGGGGGGGTCCGCGATGCGCTGCGCCAGCAAAAAAAAAAAAAAAAAAAAAAACAATTGGAAACGATGCTTACGAGGCAGCGCTTCATCTGGAGCGACTGGGCCTTGACGACCGTGAGGGCCTCCTCAAGCAGCTTGTCTTGATCCTCGGCGACGATGGTAGCAGCGGCCTGTTCGGTTGGGATGTCATCGCACAAGAAAGCAACTGTCAGTCACAATGCATGAACCAACCAAAAAAAAAAAAAAAGACAAAATTTTGCTGCTCTTTTACCATTGGAAAGTTTTGACTGAACATCCATCCACATCACAAACACATCCACATTGATCGCATAGGAAGATTGTTGCAAAGTGAGATCATGCCAATGGATAGAATCTTGTACTGTATTCATCAGCCGAATCTCAGTCCTTTTTGGAACAAAAGAACAAAAATACATGTTCGCGTTCGGAGACTTTCGACCGGATGAAATCACCGACGCGTTAAACCTCAGCACGCTGATGCAGCCACCGAAAGTTGCTCATCCGAGCCATCCGATGACTGCTGCTGACGTCGCCGTGCATACGCCGAGCATGAGTGAACAGCGGTCGACGACGACGACGCTTGCGCAACCTCCACATGAATCTCACGTCATCGCATCTGCTGCTGCTGCTGCTGCTGCTGCTGCTGCTGCTGCTCAGCCACAGCCGCCGCCGCCTCCGCCTTCAGCGCCATCGCGATTGCTGGGAGACGTGCTGCTGAGCTTGCCTTCAGTCGCTTCGACCGTGCACCGAGGGCCTAAGCGTGAGTTTCAGCCACGAGGCCTGGTGAACAAAGGCAACGCGTGTTACATCAACACTGTGCTGCAAGTACTTCTGGCGACGCCACCCGTGCACGCATTGCTCCATCATGCTGAATTGCGCAGCTTCTTGTTACAGCAAAACGCGTATGACGAGTATCTGGCTCGAACGATGCGATCGCCTGCCGCGGTCACCGATCGTGTGAGCAGATTGCTCCTGTTCAGCCTCGCGCGTCTCTCGCATGAATTCAAAATCTTGACGCCGCAAGCAGCCTTGAAGGAAGGGCCTTTTGGTCAGCCTTTGCTTCCTGGATATGTGCACGACGCGGTTGTGCATCTCCGCAGCTCTGACAGTTTCCAAGTAGGGTTGCTGCTGCTAGCTTTTGTGCTGGTTGGTGGGGCATGAACAGCTTTGTTGATGTCTAGTCGTGGCATGGGGAGACGTCCTTTGCTGATGGTTGCTTGTGCTTGTGCTTGTGCCTGCGACAGTTTCGTCAGGAAGACGCAGAAGAATTTCTTGGGTTTGTTCTCGATCGACTTCACAACGAGCTTGTCGGAGGTGCGTTTTCAGTTTGCCGCATTCTGTCTTTGGTGTTGCAGTCTGGTTTGAGCTGGTTGAAGAGAGTGCGGCGATCTGACTTCTCGTTGTCGTGGAAAATTGTTTGTGGATTCCCTGTTTTGGCCATCAGAGATGCGCAAGTCGGCTCATTTCAGCTCTAGTTATGATGTTAGTGCGGCCGCTATCACATCTGGTGCGGCGGAAGAGTGGGAAGAGGTCGGGAAAAAGAACAAGACGGCAGTGACGCGCCGCCTGGATCAAGAAGCCTCTCCAATCAGTCAAATCTTCCGTGGCTTCCTACGGTCGTCAGTGAAGCAACGTGGAGTCAAGGCGTCGGATACACTGCAGCCGTTCTATACATTGCCATTAGAAATAACTGTACGTTGAGTTAAAAAGCGATGGTGCGACTCCGTTGTGGTAGTCTCTCAATTTGTTTGATTGCTCCTGAAAGCACCATTCGGTCAATTCCGTGGTAGATGCGTTGAGAGTGCATGTGCTACCAGAATCGATTTCGGGCTTTGCTCGATCCAAAGACGCGCTCGACGTGAGACCCGGATTGTCGTTGCTTGATTGTTGCGAAACTCAACTTGGATTCTCACTTTGGCATTGTCCCTCCTGTTAGAACGAGGCCTCAAAGCAGCTATTGCTTGAAGAGTTGCCGCCAATCCTTGTGCTTCAATTGAAGCGCTTCGTCTATGATCTTTACGGCGGCGTCCAGAAGAGTTTAAAGTTTGTCGAGTATCCTGCAACGCTAGATTTGAGCACAGGTTTGGCTTGGTTCTCATTCTTTTGCGTCGAGCGGTCTGATGTGCTTGCAATCCCACATTCTGATGGATGTGTGATTTCCTTGTTCTGCAGAACTGTTCTCTTTGCCTGCCCGCTCGAAATACGGCCCCAAGCAGCGCCAGTATCGACTTCTTGCAGGTGAGACTTTATGCACAAAGCACACTCTCCGTGTGGCGAGTGAGGTGCTTGGATATTCTAACAGTTCGGGGGTGTTTTTGTCCACTGATGCTCTACGTCAGTCATCAATCATCACGGACAGAATGCGACGGGTGGTCATTATACGTGCGATATCGATGCTAGTCTTTCTGCGTTGTCGCCGTTTTCCAATTCCGAAGCTTCCTCAGGCAAATCAGCAGAAAGCACGGCTCAGCGACAATGGCTTCGCTTTGACGATCGACACATCAGCACTCCGACGCAACGAGACGTACTGAATGGATCGCATGACCGTGAAGCGTACTTGTTGTTTTATCAGTGTGTACCGTGAAGTGGCATTGATAGGATGTAAATTAATAAGCTCTATCTTTCGATACAATTTCTGTTGCAGTTTCTGTTGCGGTTTCTGTTCCGCGGGCGAGCATTTTGGGACACGGAAATCTGTTGACAGTACTTCTCAAGCAGCCCTCTTTGTCTGTTGAGTCTGGCGATACGCACTGTTCCCGCCCGATCGCCTGGATCTGATTCTGTGTATAATATGTTTTCTAGTCATCTGCTAGCGTACGAAGCGTGTCTTCCTGATCTTTCACCTCGTCAGAGCCAATTGCACGAAAAGCGGAAGTTTATGGCAACGTGCTGGTGCCCTGCTGGCCTTGAACTGTCCGATTTATCGTTGAATAATTGTACTCGGATGTGTATTAGATGACTATTGTGTTGGTTTTGTTGTAGATGGCGGCTTCTGGGAGTTGTGCACCGGCGGGTGTTTTGCGGCTGGCAATCGAGTCAATTGTAATGGTTTGAAGAGCGCCAGTCAGAATCGATTCAAACGTTCCAAAACAACACTTGCTTCTCTCAGGACCCAGAGCCGAGCTCGTCCTAACATTAAGGTTCTAGCATATTCTAGTGCATCGGATGCTGACGGATGGCTGTGATTCATGACACGATCAATCAACCGATACTCGAAACAATCGCGAAAGTGGCAAACAAACTCTTGTCGGACCATCCACCTCACTTTGCATTGAATACCAGCCATTCAAAATACAAAAACAGTACAATACATCTATACTCTAATACAATGATCAAAACTACAGCGACGCACTCCTCACTTGATCTACCTGCTGGAATCGGAACCTGTTAAAGCACACTTTTGAATGCGAAAAGTGGTTCTCGTTCCAACGGCGCTGCTCGCAGCAGCAGTGATTGGATTCTTCATATGGAACTTTTTGCTACTATCATCACATCTCGCTGGCTCGGTACGTCCCTGAGCTGCAAACCTCGGGGCTTGGTGACTGAGGGGTAGCCAACGCGGCAGACTGGCCAGTTCCACCACTCACTCACCATTCCTCTGTCCGATTGTATCTGATGACTCGCTGCATGTACACCAATGAATGAATGAATGAACAGGCGGGCGAAACACGCATGGCGACGTTGCTGGAGCAGGTGGAAAATTCGCAGCAGCAGATCATTGCGCAGCAGCAGCAGATACAGCAACTGATGGAGCGCGACGCCAATCGCCAGGCTGCGCCGTGCGTCCAGCATCAGTCTGAAGGGACCAAGGCAGACAGGCGGGATGATCCGCCCGTCCCAACACTCGGTACGATGTTGCAGTCAAAATGTCAAGCCACTTTGCCGCTGCACCTCGCTTGACACGAGTCGTCCTGCTACGACCGACCTGAATGATGTTGGTTTATACCGAGACAGCGATTTCTAAACTTGATCTGACCTGGCGCATGTTGTCAAACCTTTTTTCGTTGTTGATTTGTTGGTTGACAGAGGACAACAACAACACGCCCGCCGTCGTTGGAAAACAAACAGTCCACTCTGCCGGGGAGCCCATCGCCGTGCTCGTTATCGCATGCAACCGACCGGATATGGTGCGATGCGTGGACCGGCTGCTCAAGTTCCGTCCATCCGAGCGCTTCCCAATCATCATTTCACAGGATTGCGGCGATGCTTCGACTGCCGCGACCATCCGTGAGCACTATGGAAACCAGGTCATCCACGTCATGCAGCCAGAGCTGGAAGAAATCCCAGAGGCCAAGCATCAGCCCCAGTTCAAGGGCTACTACAAGATTTCGCGACATTACAAGTGGGCGCTCACGCAAGTCTTTGATGTGCTGTTCTTCAACTCTGTCATTATCGTCGAAGACGACCTCGAGATATCGGAAGACTTTTTCGACTACTTTGCCGCTGGCCGACAGCTCATGGAGCAGGACGAGACACTGTGGTGTGTTTCGGCTTGGAACGACAACGGCAAGAGCGAGTTTGTGAGCAGCGCCAAGAAACTCTACAGGACCGACTTTTTCCCCGGTCTCGGCTGGATGCTCACGCGAGGTGTCTGGTCTGAGCTGTCCTCCAAGTGGCCCAAGGCGTTCTGGGACGACTGGATGCGGGAGCCAGCGCAACGAGCCAACCGCGCCTGCATTCGCCCCGACATTTCGCGCGTCTCCAATTTTGGCGAGCGCGGTGTTTCCGCCGGACAGTTCTTTTACGACCACATTGCCAAAATCAAGCGTCCCACAGAGACGGTGCCATTCCTGAGCATGGACCTCAGCTACCTTCTCAAGGACAAGTACGATCCCGCATACAGGGCAGCTGTGAAGGCTGCACGCACCGTCCGATTCGAAGAATTATTGAATTCCGTGCCACCGGGCACTGGAAACCTGCGGGTCGAGTACACGTCCAACCAAGACTTTGAGCGGAAATCGAGCGAGCTCGGTCTCATGTCTGATCTCAAGGCTGGCGTGCCGCGCACCGGCTACATGGGCATTGTTGAGTTTATGTATAAGGGGAATCGAGTATACTTGAGTCCGCCGTCCGACTGGAGCGGCTATCATAGCTGAGAAAGCGAACAAACAAACAACAAAACCAAAAACCAAACGAAACAAAAAACGAAACAAAAAACGAAAAAAAAAAACAACAAAAAAAAAACAAAGCTGTGTTTAGTTTAGCTGTGCTTCTCGCCTCATAGTGCTATTCCCGTTGTAATGCTGAAACAAATCTCATTTGTCCATGTCTAAAAAGAGTAAATCTTGTTGTTGTGCAGGAGCTCAAAAAGCTGGATCGGCACCTTGTGAAGTGCGTAATCGACTCTCCCATTGTGGGTTTTCCCATGTGTCGGCAGGCTTGGCCAGCAAGTGAGCAGCGGCGGCTTGCACTCTCAAAAGGTCACTCGCATAGCTCAGCCAAAGGCTGTCTCCAAGTGTCACTCACTGTCACACACGAACACACCGAACAAAAATAATCAAAAACTCACATCGATCCCTAAAAAGACCCAAAAAACACACGACCACACACTAAATCCCCGAAAACCCATGACGCAAAAAAGGCGCAGTCGGCCGATGCCACACAGGCTCGAGTCTGGGCAGATCCGAGCATCGCCCAAAGTGCACACTGCAACGGGCTGCGCCAGACGCTCAGACGCCACCCGAAATGCACAGCGACCCGTCATCGGTGAATCAACTTCTTCTCCGACACCATCTATCTCCGATCGTCACCAATATTTTCAGGTCCATCCGACCAACTCGCAGGCTCCGCGGTCACCCAGCTCAGCGCCCTCCCCCTTCGTCGTGACACGCTCATCAACCTTGTCGTCTGTGGCCTTTCAGACGGAATGCCAATACGACAGTGTTCCTCTCTGTTCCCATCACGGCTTCTTACCAATCCGCGTTGAATCGCAAATTGCTCACCAGGAAATTTGCGGGTATACATTTTGCAATGGGAATTTTTCCCCAGTTCACTGAGGCCACTGTGCACCACCGCCCGCCGCCCTGACCCCATCAGGTTTGTACATGACCTGACAGCACCCCGTGGCTGCATTGGCGAGGACGGGGGACACCTGCATCGTCGTGTACGGATACCCCCTTTTTGTGTGTCGCACCTGGTGACGAGGTCCCTCAAAACGGCACTGCAGCCCCTTCTACTGTACACCATTGGAATGAGCCGATTTTTTAGATATAGAATCATGTGCGAGACGGCCAGGAGCGAAGCGCTGGAGGCCGCACCAGGTTTCGGGTCCGTCGCGGCCAAGCCGACCGCTCGATCTCGGCCTAGACCGCACCCACCGCCGATATTATGGTCTCTAAAAATCTAATAGATGGGTCTGGTACCTCCATTGAACGGGCGGGCCTGGGGCAGTGTCCGACTGCGGGATATGGACAGCCGTCCACGAGCCCTCAGGGCGCCGACTAGGGCTGTCCGTTAGTGCCACCTCTAGTATAGAAAGTTAGCGCTTGGCATGATGTATATGAATCCGGGATCGGTCGGGCGGTAGCGCTCGATAGCACGAAGAAGGACTGAATCGGCCTTTCGAATTTCGTCCAAAACCTGCTAGCCCCGAGATCGATGCCTTTCACCAGCTCTGTCCGTGTAATCCATACATATTCCGATTGTTCAATGTCTGATGAGTTGGAAACCGTTATGGCGAGTGAGGTGCCGCACGATGCGTCCGAGTTGGCTTCTCGCTCGTATCCAGCCATGTAGACACCTAGGAGCTTGACCAGCTATATATCAATGTACTCTATACACTCTATAGTATCCGCTCTATATCGCGCGTGGACAGTGATCGTTGGTGTCTAGTTGATGCACCCGACCAAACATTCGACGGGCGTTAACTTGCGATTTCCGAGTCGCATCCATGAAATATTTTACCAGACAACAGTAAATTAGTACTAGAGTCTAAATCATTGATGCGGAATTGCGGTGATATCTGGAGGGTGGATCACGAAGGGTCGGAAATGACCCATTTGGCGGGTGCTCGATCTTTGTCCAGCATCGTCCGATCTCTGATATTGTAACTTTTTCTTGCTTCTGACGTGCATTAGACATCACATCTGCGGAGGGGCGGATGTGGTACTAAATCATGCGGAGTGGGAGGAGGCCAAAGTTTCGGCCAACTCGCAAAACCATGGATCGAGTGCCCGGTCGTTTTACCGGCCGCCCATGCTGCCACCGGTACGTGATAATACTTAGCAATAGTGTTAGAGTTGCTTTGCTTTTGTTCCGACCGATTCCACTTGATAGAAGCCGACTTAGCGAATCGTGCAAATGGTCTTCTTGACGCTCCTCGTGTGACCACCACTGCCGTGATACAACAAGTTTCAAGGTTTTAAAAGTGTTGTCAGATAATTTACATTTGAATCATAGCCGTTAGTGGCCATTGGTACTTGCGCTTCTTGTCGTGGGATGAGACTTGCTTTTAGTGACTCGACCGCGGCTTTGGGGTGCATGAACGCCTCAAGGTCCCATCCCCATCCATGTTTATCAGTATTGTATCGTTTTCTGTGATTAGTGGGCCTAGTCCATAGCACTGGCTGGTGGCAGAAACTTGACTGCGCTGAATTCCTCTTCGCGCTTGAGTCTGTCTCTTCAAGCTGATCTACCTCCAACAGATCGTGCTTCAGACCAGGTCTATGACATGTAACCGATAGTAGCATCAATTCTAGTTACGTGGCTATCCAGGATGAGGCATGAAACGAATGTTGTACCCCTAGAATCATGTTTCTTCGGCGAGCTAGTTTTGCTGAACCAACTCCGTCTGTCTACGCTAGCTAAATCGTCTAAAACCGTACCCATATGGAATAGATGAAATTAAATACATAAATTAAACAATAAAACACAAGAGCAGCGGACTAAACACCCTTCAAGCCTTCGTTACGTGCGGTGTCCAGCAGCGGGCGGCATCAGCGAGCCACTTGAACCGCACATGCTCGGCAATCAGGAGCGACAAGGGAGGTACGGCTTGAGATCTAGAAGGTTGACCAACGGTGGGCGGAGGTGGATCGGTAGGGACCCACGGCCACGGGTTAGACGTGGATGCCTGCAAGTCTTCTGCTGACACGCCGAGCCGTGCAATCCTCTCGGCCATCCACAAGGCGAGCCAACCACAAGTCCAAGGAGGTTTCTCCGTCTGGCCAGGCCCTTGGTGCCCGTAGATAGAACCCGGCTCGGGAACAAAGCTCCATTCAGTCGAGTCCGGCAAGAACGATTTAACAATTTCGACAAGGTCGAGAGCCGGTTTCTTCAGTCCCTCGAAAATGCGGATGGTGAAGGTTTTCCGATGCAGCACAACGAGGAACCAGTGCTGCTCTCGATTCGCTGGAAAGATGACAAGGCCATCTTCCGATGCAGCGACTGTGTCAGACAATGAATCGTTGCACTCCGAGAACCTGATTTCTCGGTTGGAGTGGCCTCGCAGTGATCTGTCCATGTCAGCAGTCCCGTTGGCGTCGAAGGTCTGCTGCTTAGGCAATCGATTACCTCATGCTGTGAGTCGCCGCTCTCCGCAATCAAGCAACCGCGGTCCAACCTTAACACACACACACACGCACATCATACCCAAAAGGTGACTTTGACCCCGTTTTGCGAGGTAATGTTTGCTTGTTGCAGGCGCCCGAAGCAAAAGTCAAGCGCTTCAGCGGACATCCACTCAGAGCCCTTGTCGTCGAAGGGCTTCAAGACTTGTCTCGCTGGCAGATGCTCGGACGCATCTATCCCAGGCGAATTGAGCTTGATCGGGATGCTCCTGTCATAGAGCTGAAGGAACTCCTGCACAGTTTGCAAGGCCTTCGGGGACAGGTTGGCGGCCGGTTGGGCAGCTGCTGAGATTGAAGCCGTCGACTCTACAGACGAGTTGACGGGCGGTTGGGCAGTGGCGGGGATCAAAGCCATCGGCTCGGCGGACAGTTCGGTGGGCGGTTGGGTCGACTCTGCAGACACGTTGTCGGGCGGTTGAGTAGCGGCTGGGATTGTGGGTGAGACCCGCAGGGGTGTGAACTGCAAGGGCTGGCAGGCTCTCATGAGCCAACGGTACGCGAGAATTCTAGGCCTGGGGTGCCATGCGAGCTCAGCTTCGATTGCCTCGGGGGGATCTGTCCACATGCTTGCCCACAGACGCTTCATCAGGATCGGCCTCGGTCGTTGAACAAGTTCGGTTAGGCCTGCGGAGGCTGCTTGTTGAGCAGAAGGGCGGCCAGGAGGAGTCTGCGGCGGTCGTGCAGACCTAGTAGCGCAGTCACGCCTGACTGTATGCGGGGGTTGCACGTGCCCTGCATGCGAAACAGAAGAAGAAGGGCGGTCACCAAGAGCAGAGAGAGGCGTGCGTTCTGCTTGGTCGACCTGCATCGGTTCAGCGGACCCAGAATCGTGGCTGCGACTGCCTGCATGCGGAGCTGGAGCATGTGCCGTATGCGCAACATGGGAAACCGATGCATGTGAAGCACGAGCAGGAGCACCAGCAGGACTATGTTGAGCAGGAGCCCCAGCAGCAGGGGCTTGAGCAGGTGCTGTCCACCGGGCTTTCATTGCAGCCATATTGCGTCGTGTGACGGGGTCCAGGGGCGAGAAAAGCAACGAGAGCTCGGCAGCAGACACGCTCTTGCCGCTGGGGTGCCCAGGCATCTGAAAGCCAAAGTCGCTCTCCACGTCGTCTTCAAGCCTGGCATCAAGCTCCAGTTCTGGGCGCAACACGTTGCGTGCAGTGGGCATCAGCACGACACGGTCAGCGTGGTTGTGCTTGACAAGGGAGAACTTGATTTGCTTCTTGTCGTCCTGGGGGAGGTTGCACATGTGATGGAAACACGCGTGCATGGTGCTGAGCGGGGCGACGAGGGTCGTGGCCGGCACGAGAAATTTGGCACGACAAGCGTACTCGGACACGGCCTTCCCCCCACGAAACAATGAAACGCTGTCAACGCGGTGCAGCAGCTCGACGCACGCCCAGTCCGTGAAGGCATCCGGAGGAGCATTCGTGAGACGGTACCCAAACAGAAACT